AGATTTCGGTATGTTGCGGCCATCTTCTGGAAAGGCGAGATGTGCCTCTTGAAGCCCTGAGGTCTGATACGTCGCAGTGGATGACTCGTAGGCAATGTATGGAGACGCACCCAGAACTTGATCGCTTTCCTGTCAAATCGTTCCTGGGCCGACTGTATGCTTGCTTCTGCTTCGGCAACCGCTGTGGCCACCGTGTTGAATGTTCCAATGATGGCTTGGGCTCCAATTCTCTGTACCCTGTTGATGACCCTCATCTGGGCTGTCCTGCACCTGTGTCTCCAGACGTTCGACGCATAATCTATTGTCGGCGCTACCGCCGCCACGAAGAGTTGCCTTGCCGTTGACGGAGATAGGCCTTTCAGTCGTCTGAGTTCCAACACAGCTTCGAGACCTTTCGTCGCCGCTTCTGCGATGTGTTGCTGAAAATAGAGTTTGGTGTCCATGATCACGCCCAGGACCTTCACGCGGTCTTTGGGCCGAACTGTATCACCCTTGATGTTGAAGGTTGCGTAATCTTCCGGATGTCGCCAGTTCCGCGTGAAGTGTATGATAGCCGTCTTGTCTGCCTCAAATGTCGCCCCGCTTCGTCGTTCCCAATCGAGCGCTCGGTCAATGATGGCCTGGATCCCTTGCCGGTTCGCCTGTCGCGACGGTCCGGTGACCCACGCCGTATAGTCGTCAACAAATGCTAGTGATCCTCCATTCTCATCGGTTTGGTGCTGGACCAAATCCGCGTTGAAGAAAAGGAACAGAACAGGCGACAGCGGCGAGCCCTGAGGCAGCCCAGGTTGAGGCAGGGAGCGGACCTCCGAGTCCTGCCCGTTGATCTGGATGCTTGCCGTTCGTTGCGAGCAGAATGCATCAACCCATTCCACCAGCTTTTCTGGTATTCCTCTCGCCTTGAGTCTCTGGAGCAGTCTTTCTTTATACACTCCGTTATATGCGCCTTTGACGTCGAAGCTGACCAGGCTGAGGACCTTTCTCTTCCTCCACGCTCTGTAGATGTATTCCTGAAGTAACACCAAGGCTTGTTCTGCCGACCTCTGCTTCCGAGCACCGAAATGGCTGGTAGGCAGGAGCCCGTGTGTCTCGACCGCATGAGATATCCTCTCAGCCATCACCGACTCTAAAACCTTCCCCAGTGTTGACAACAGCGAGATCGGTCGCCAAGCCTTTGCAACGGTGTAGTCATCCTTGTTCGGTTTCTTCAGCGGGATGATCTTTGCATGCCTCCACTGCCTCGGTAGTTCTCCCTCGTTCACCGACGTTTGGAACAGCGCATGTACCCGGTGTTTCACTATCGGCCATGTCTGCTTCCACACGGCCACCGGCAACCCATCTTCTCCGGGTGCTTTCCACGATTTGGCTGCGAACAGTTGCCTTTCCACTTCTTCCAACGTAATATCGGGGAATGGCACAGGTGGCCGCTGCGGACGCTGTCCCTCATCTTCGATGTTGTTCGGGAGCGGAGGGAAGAAGGTAGACAGCAGTTCCTCCGCCTGCTCTCCTTTTTCCGCCGTCTTGGAGCCGTCCGCCCTAATAAGCTGGGGGATCTTGTCGAATGAGGCGCCTTTGTCGGCGCCTAAGTACTTGACTGCCTTCCAGATGTTCGTGTCATCGGCCAGAAACCCTTGCCAGTGATTCTTCTTCTGTTGTCGGATTGCGTCATGATACTGTTTCGCCGCTGCCTGCGCTTGCTCTTCTAGGTCCGGCGGGCAGTGGCCGGCCCGTCTCTCCGCCCTCGCTCGGTTCCTCCAGAATGTGTGGATCCGGCGCAGCTGAGTGAGGTCCTCCGTCCACCACCTCTTCGCATACCGAGACGGCTTGGCTGTAGGCGTCAACGCCTCTACTGCTACCGTTACAGTAGACATGAGCCGGTCTGTCTGCTGCTGCACTGTGCCTCCCGTAGGAATACATTGCAGCGCGGCCTCGATCCTGGCATTAATCGCCTTCCATGGCGCGTTCTTGAACAAAAGTCGAGGTTTGCTGTCCGTGTCAGGAGTCGCAATCTCAAACGTTGTCTCAATCGCTTGGTGGTCCGATCCGTGGTCTGTCTCGTGCAAGGCGCATCTTGTCATCATCCTTGCCAGGTCCTCAGATGCGATTGACAGATCGATCGTCGTTGCCGCGTCGTTCTTGTGCCACGTTTTCGTCCCCCGTGGCAGGAGGCTCCTGAGTGACAAGTCGCTCATCAACTCGATGATCGGGTCGGCTTCTCCCTGCCTGGTCGCCGAGACGTCATCTCCTCCCCATAGTTGGTCATGCCGGTTAAAGTCACCAACAAAGACCACGTCCACCACCTCGCCTGCGCTACTCCTGACTCCCGCGATTGCCTGCCGTAACATTGAACATGTGCGGCGAAGCATCTCGGGCTCTTGTGCCGGCACGTACACAGACACAATCAGCACCCGACGACCCGGGAGTCGAAGAACGGCTCCTGTTATGTCCGGTGACGGTATCGGCACTTGCTCCGCTTCGATTTCCTTGTTCACCCACAGCATACTCCTAATGCCCCACCGTCCTTCCTCCCTCCACGCCGTCGGAACCATCCTAGTCCACCTACTGTGCCGCATCGGCACCGTCAAGATCTTCCCCTCTCTCTTCCACACCCACGGTTCCTGCACGGCTATAACCGTGAAATCCTGCAGTCTCTCGTCGTTCATCAGGCTCTCGTGCACTGCATCCTGTTTCCTCACATTCAGTTGAAGAACCTGAAAGTTTCTACTCATGGAGAGATGGGTAGAGCTTCGGACACTTCTTGCTGAAAGACTCATGCGCACCACCGCAAGGAACACACTTCAGTGCCGTTTCACGGCAATCCTTGTGGTGATGGTCCTCCTTGGCGCACCTTCCACACACCAAGCGGTTCGGGCATCGGACTGCCTTGTGCGGAGCGATCTGCTGACATTTGAAGCACTGTTGTGGTCGGGATTGGGGTTTGAACACCCCTGTGGTTCCTGATTCTCCGCTTGCGTGGAAGTAGCCCTCTGAAATAAGTCTTCTGGCGTCGCTGGCTTTGGTCAAGTAGACCGCCATCGATCCGTATGCTTTCGGGTTTTCCTGATCGCTTAGCCATACGATTTTGGCGACAGTAGCGTGGTTTTCCTTGCTAAATTCCTCCGCTGCTTTACTTCTGTACTTTCCTTTCTCCTCCCACACGGATGTCCATCGCACAAAGTCTACCTTGATTGGGTGCAGGTCGTCGTCTCGGACACGTATACCCGGGGCGATCTTTGTCTCCGCGATTTGCTTGACCATTTGGTGTTCCGCATCATCTCGGCAGACAACTCTGATGAGATTCTCACTCCTTGGGTTCACAGTCACGGCCAGGCACCGCCATCCCGCATGCCCGTCCGCACGCATTTCCTTTTCCACTGCCGCCCTGATTGTGCCCGCGCTGGGCTTGCTTCCATCTTCCTCTTCAGCGCTGAAGGTGTCGATCGTGCAGTACAGAGTGTCGGTCGTGTTGGTCGGTGTTGCGCCGGGCGTGCGGGCCCGTGCGTCGCTGTATTGGTTCGTCGAGGCGGTTCGGGCGACAGCGGCATAGGATGGGCTGGAGTCGCTTCGCGCCGGAGCCAGAGCCGTACATGCCTCAAGTTTTTCCCATGTCTTCGTGTTATCGTCTTCAACTTGCTGCTTCAACGCTTGCAGGTCGCTGCGGACTGTCTCCAGCTCGTCCTTGATTGACCGGAGTTCCTCGCTCGCCGTCCGAAGTTCGTCCGTGGTTTGTCGAAGCTCGGCCTGGATGTCCCTGTTGCGCAGTTCAGATTTCTTCCAGGCATTGAAAACCACCTGGAGGGATGCGTGGAGTTCCTTCATCTGCTTTCCCATGGCCAGGAGCAGTGTTCTGTCGTCGTCCTCGATCGCCTTGATCCTTCCTCTGGCGGCTGGCGCGCCCCTAGTGGTCGCCCTCCGCACCCCATTTCCTCCCTGCTCGCTCGGCTCTGCGGCCCCATCGTCGAGAGTGTCTCGGTTTCCTTCGTTTAGTAGGGCCTTGGTTGTCGGTTTCCGTATCCGTCGAAGTGGTCGCGCCGTTCCGCTGGCCTCTCCCGAGTCGGACGCGACGTTGATCGTATCCGAATCCGCCTGCATGTTTCACGACGGAACGCACCGAAAGTGGGTCCACTAGCGCCGCGCCACGCGTTTCGGTACCGCCCCTTCGCAAAACACCCAAATAACCCTCAACAGCAACAACAAAAGATAATGATTCCTCGATGATAATACAGCTTGTCCAGTGCCACATCTAAACACATCCATTTTCCCTACAGAGAAAATCGAAATCGGTTTCCGGCTTGTCAAATGGAAAAACTTTCTGTGCACAGACATTTGCGGATCCGGTCGTTGATAGGATACATGATGAGACCCACAGAGTACTTCCTTGATGATCTCCACAGCGAAGTTAGAAATGGCTTCTACACTGTGTTCGTGGTTTGGACCCATGTTGCACAATCCAAGATCCACGACCGGCGGTGATAATTGCACTCGATTTTATGCCACTTGGTTATGTCCCATGTCTGCATACGCATGTCCTACTTATACATCTAAGTCGCCCCGAGCCCAAGTCTGGGTCTATTACCAGCCTTTCTAAGATCATTGACAGGTATAAAAAATAAAAAAAAACTCAGCAAGAGTTAGGTGAACCGTATTGCTTACGTAGACTTCTTCCTCCGTGTTCGTTAAAATATATATCCCTAAGCGACTAAAAAGTAAAAACATGCCTGAATGAAACTCGGTAGCTCTTTGCCGGATGCTCACAGGCACAGGGTTGCATTCGGGCTCTTAATATATATTACACTAATTGCATTTGCATATGGTATATCTTAAACGATCAGTGAGGCACGTTTAATTATACACGTTACTATTAGACCTTCCCATCCGGAAATGCTACTGTACTATAGTTAATGCCGACACATTGAGAGATAAGATGAGCCTCTAAAACTGCTACACTAGAGTCTGTCTAGGCATCTTGATAAGTCTAAGGCCATGTTGTGTCTTAAGAGTCAAAAGAAATTGATCCCTAGGACCTTCTCCCTTAGCTCCAGTATCTGCCGATGCATCTGCTTTGCCTCATCGTACTTCCCCTGGTGTTTAAGCACGAGTGCCAGGTTGTTCATGGTGGTGAGTGTGAAGGGATTCTCTGGTCCCAGCCCCTTCTCACACGTCTCCAGTGTCTGCCAATACATCTGCTCTGCCTCATCGTACTTCCCTTGGCTACCGAGGACTTCTGCCAGGCTGTTCATGCTGATGAGTGTGCGAGGATTGTCTGGCCCTAGCAACTTCTTATACAGCTCCAGTGTCTGTCGATACATCTGCTCTGCCTCATCGTACTTCCCTTGGCTACCGAGCACATCTGCCAGGTTGCTCATGCTAGTAAGTGTGTCGGGATTGTCTGGTCCTAGTAACTTCTCATATAGCTCCAGTGTCTGTCGATACATCTGCTCTGCCTCATCGTAATTCCCATGGTTGTCAAGCACTCCTGCCAGGTTGTTCATACTGGCAAGTGTCAAGGGATTTTCTAGTCCCAAAACCTTCGCCCTCAGCTCCAGTGTCTGCCTATGCATTTTCTCTGCCTCATCGTAGTTCTCCTGTTCTCGAAGGACTTCTGCCAATTTGTTTATACTAGTGAGTGTGTCGGGATTGTCTGGTCCTAGTACCTTCTTATACAGCTCCAATGCCTGACGATGCATCTGTTCAGCCTCTTCGTACTTCCCCTGGCTGCTAAGCACGAGTGCCAGGTTGTTCATGCTGGTGAGTGTGGAGGGATTCTCCAGTCCCAGCACCTTCTCCGTTAGCTCCAGTGTCTGCCGATGCATCTGCTCTGCCGCTTCGTACTTCCCTTGGCTGCTAAACACGAGTGCCAGGTTGTTCATGCTGATGAGTGTGTCGGAATTCTCCAGTCCCAGCACCTTCTCCATCAGCTCCAGTGCCTGCCGATGCATCTTCTCTGCCGCTTCGTACTTCCCCTGCCTGCTAAGCACGAGGGCCAGGTTGTTCATGCTGCTAAGTGTCAAGGGGTTCTCCAGTCCCAGAACCTTCTCCTTCACCTCTAGTGCCTGTCGATGCACTTGCTCTGCCGCTCCGTACTTCCCAAGGAGGCTATTGCTTTGTCCTACGCTAGACAGCAGATCCCATAACGCCTCATTGTCTGTGCACCAATCCCCAACTTGAAGTGCCGCTTGCGCATGTGGTAAGTAGGTCATCCAAACGTCTCTGTTCCTATGGTCTGGCCAAGGGAACTTCTTGTATAGCCAGCGAATCGTCTCTGTTGCCTGTTTTTCTTTCCTTCCTTGGTCCCTCAGCCAGTTCCGCATCACCAAACGCACCAGTCGGTGGATATCGAACCTATCCATAGCGTCCCGCTTCTGAATGAACGCGTAAGCCATCAGCGTGCTTATCGCTTCATCCGCCGCCATCTCGTCGTCCGTATCTTTTCCATCTCCTTCAGAAGGCAAAAGAGCCCTTGGTATGTCTTTCTCTGCGAGATAGCACATGAAACTGAGGTACTTCGCTGCAAGTGGGTTGTCCCTAGAGATATGCATAAACGAGATCAGCCACGTCGTAGCCACTGGGTTCCGGATAGCCTCATATCGATCCTGATCTTCGAAATCTTTGCTCAGCAGCTTCACTAGCTTCTCGTCACTGGCCTTGCAATACCCAAGGTACTTGGACACAGTCACACTCATGTTGGCGGCCATGTAAGCCGACGCCTGTCGTATAGCCAGCGGCAGATAAGTGAGGTGCTCGAGCAACTTTGTCGTGCTTAGTTTGTCGCCCATTTGACTTTTGTCCAAGCCGGTACACAACAGCTGAGTGGCTTCCATGGTATCCATCTCCTGTAGATGCACAGGATGACCTCGACTCCATCTTACTGCAGCCTTGTGATTCCGCGTTGTAAGCAGAATAGAGCCCTTCCTATTCCAAGGGAAGTACGTTATCAGCTTCGAGTTGGTAAATAGTAAATCTATGTCGTCGGCGTTATCGACGATAAGAAGCCAGTTGCCGACGTCGTCCCTTTCTAAGGCCGCCTTGACCAAGCTTTTTATATCCGCTTGGTCATCCTCGATGCCTTGGATACTAAGCCTTCGGCCGATGTCGCGACACGCATTCTCAAACATCACCATGCTTACAGCCGGCACCCAGAACACTAAGCAGTCTGGGTGTGCGTCGCGAACGCGGTAGGCGGCTTCGATGGCGACCTGTGTCTTACCGACCCCTCCGAGACCGACGATGGCTGTCCTTTGGCAGGTGTCTTTCTGGGCACTTGGGGGTACCCTTTCGAGCAGTTGCGTTAAGATCGCATCTCTGCCAACAAAGTTTTCATTCCGGCCGAATGGAACGATAAAGTAAGGTTTTCTATAGGCTAGTAGGTATTAGACATGTATTGAACCTAGTAATCAAATCGTAATTTTTACTTACAATCTTCCTCTCCATCTAGATTGCTTGAAATCAGCGGTGGGACTGTATTTAATAGTTCTTTGCCGTATGCCGCTGCCGTCGCTGCTGCATATGGCTGCCACCGCTTGTTTTTATGCGCGTCTGCATAGTCGCAGATGCCGCGAATGACAATGCAAGGGAAGTTGTTCATCAAGCCAGCTGCCTCCATTTCGAAGCACAACACACCTCCCAGCTCCTGACTATGCCTATCGCGCGTTGGTCCATCCTTCATTACTTGGTTCCCAGACGCGATATTGCCGAAGAAGAGGGCTGGTTTGGTGGTCGCGCGTGGCTTCCTATCCACTATATCTTCTAGACGGCATTTTGCACATGTGGGACCACCGGCATGAGTTGATAATGCATGGTATAAGGTGTCGCTCTCAAGTCCCGGCGATGCAAAATCTGGCTTATCAGAAAGCCGAGAAAGGTAAGCGAGGACTTGCGTCTTGCCTCGAAAATTGTTCGCGCGGAGCTTGGCCAAGGCGTTGAGGAGGATCGTCGGTGGTGCATTGAGGCTACCCGTGCGAGCGATACGACCGTCAGCCCCCGTTTTCCCGAAGTCATATTGGATTACTCCCCCATGCTGTCCTGTCGGCTGGCTAATGACTACGTCGCCGAGACGAACGTCGATGTCGTTCTCGAGGTCTGGGACGCCGCCACCAATGCCGACAAGGACACTGAATCGCAGCGATGGGAAATTTTGCTTCATCTGGCTCGCGACGATTGCCGCTTGGTTTGTTCCCATCTGGCCGGCAGGCAGAGAGGCAGTCACGACGTTGTGGACGCCGATACGACCAAAGGAGTAGACGTTCGAATCAGACGACTGGGACGGGAGGTCAGCGTATTCCTCGTCCATCATTTCCGCCGCGGCTGCCAGCTCGATAGGCAAAGCGCAGACCCAGCCGACGGTGAAGTCGCGAGCGGGGATGGACTTAGGCATGGCGCGCCAGTTCGACACTAGATTTTAGATAAGAATTGACGATGTTTAAACTATGTGAGAAACTCGACGTATTGACACCGTAGTATTGAGCCGTTTTGCTTTAGTGAAGAAAGCTCTGCCTGCCGAGGACCGACCGACGAGAACAACTCTCCCTTCACAGCCTGGTCGTAAGGGGTCACACGCGGGAAGATGCGATCCCATAAGACCAACTAGAATGAAAGCATGCTGATTCGTGTGATTAGCTGTCCGCCTTCTGTGCGTTATTTTTTGAGTCGACCTTCCTGCATACGCGCTGCCTAGGACGACAGTTGTCACCAGCTCAGGGCATTGGGAGGGCGGCAGGACTCCCCTCTAGCGGTCCGTCAATGATTTTGAGATACTTGCAAACTGTGATACAAGCGCAAGACGAAATTCATGAGAAATTTGATGTATGAAGATGTTTGTTTGGACAGTGTGCCCGCCGGGTCCGCATGACGAGTTCTTCTTATCCTCCTCAGCCTGATCGGGAGGGTCGTCATACACAAGAACATGCCAACAGCGCAAGATCAACCAGAGTCGCAGTGAGGCACGCTAGTCGGATTGGTTGCCTGTGTTCTTCGCACCAATTACATACGGGGTCGTCTACCTGTGTGAAGCGAACCAATGGCCTACTCAATCGCGGCCCATAACGATAGTACAACTGAGAACTGCGTAACATATTAAAGAGCCACAGGCTCTGCAGCTCCTTTGGTAGATGAGGCGGTAGTGCTGCCAAATAACGTTGAGGCTTTTTGCGGATCTCTTCTGTTTGCCCCGGTCGGATCTCGTCGACCGATCCCTGTGGATCTGTAGTTCATCTGGAACTTCAGACGCTGAAGACAACTGTACTATGGTACACCTCCGCCATCAACCCAAATATTAGCGTGGGAAGGTCCAACTGTTACTGTCCAATGCAATGTTTATATTCAATAGGTAACAGTGGGACCCATGCCACGCTAACATTTGGAATGCTGGCGGAAGTATACCATAATAGTAAAGCAGGGGGGCCTGTTCCCACTTCAAATTACCCACACATGGGGGCGGCCGGCAACGCTAAAAGTAGCGTGGCCGCGTAGCTAGCTTCCGATGACCCATTACATGGACCACTATTAAAATTTTACCCACGCTACGGGACAGGACAGCACCTGCGCGTTTTCCACATATATGCTCCGTGGAAGGAATCCAATCAATCAGCAACAGCATAGGAAGTCCGCGAAGATTCCGCGAAATCTGAACCTTGCCTGACATGTAAGTACAAATGTATCAATCAATAGAGGTGACCGTATTGGGTTGGTGATTACGGACGACTAACAGGACGTGTTATCGTCAGGTCTGGGCCACGCACAGCTTGATGTCACATTATTGCTTAAACAGCGAGGATTATGCCACTGTACCGCTAGACAGGTATCTGGGATTCAACTACTTCTCAAATGACAGTATCATGAACAGACTACTAAATACAAATAGCGTGGATTTACAAGCTGGTCTGCGCTTGATGGCACTGCTCCTGTTCCAAGTACGGAAGTCGTTCAGCCATCTCGTTCCTTAGAACTAGGCACCAACTCCTAACAATACCACCAACAGCTCTGATGCATATGTATGCTCGCCTATTATTCACTCGCTATCTTGGGTGTCACCTGCGGTCGCGCAATCTGATCGTTCATCCCAGTTTCTTTTAGGTGGGCCGGACGGGTGCCGGAGCTTGTCAGCTAAGGCTAGCAATTTAGCTTCGCTCTTGGAAACATGCTGCCTCAGTTCCCTTATCAAAATGTTAGCATTCGGAATACACCCTATAGAGACAGGCAGTACCTAATTATATTGCGTTGCTCAACCTCAAGTTCAATGATTTTCAGTCGATATACATCATACACTGGTCCAGCTCTATTGGCAAGCTCGAGACCCAATTTAGTTCTGTGACCGGAGTCCAAGAGCTTGTCAATGGCGGTGCCAAGGGAACTCAGAGCGGCGACAGCCAGCTGGTTGTCACGGAGTAAGGGACTGTCGTCCGCAGATGAGGAAGAGAGCTTCAGCTCAACTTGCTTGGAAGCCTCGTCGATAGTTTGACGTGTTTCCCCTATTGTTTCCTTAGACATTTCATCTTGGGAGGGTGACACGCCAGAGGCTGACATATCAAGAAGTGCTTGAAGGGACAGCGAGTGATGATATGAAGGTCCGACGACAGGGAGTTTTGAGGCGCTCTGTAGTGCTGGGTCGCAAATCTAAGACTTTTCGGTTGCTGTGTGAGATGTAGTAGTAAAGGCTGGAGGGGTTAGAGGGCGGGGAAAAGGACATGTCGCGTTGGTTGGGGTTTGAGCCAAGCTTGTTGGACGCGAAATCGGCCCCCCATTGTTTACAGTGAGAACTGCTCACGCACGATTTAACTTCATCTGGGCTGACGGCACTGACGGAACAGGTGGGACTTCCACTACAAATTCTCAGAAAATGCCACGTGGTAAACGTGCCCTATGGCAGAGTTAGCGCCGGGGCCCGGCGCCCCACAGAGAGAATTTGACGATGTGCAGCTCAGTTCGATCCGATCTGATTTAATCCCATCGAAGAAACCTTATCCGATTGAAGAGGAACTTCAGACGGTCAAGCGCGTACGGAAAGGTGGGCCCATACAGACACCCGATATGCGAATTGCATTTAGTATGGAGTATAGTACTCCATACTAGAGGAGAGGTAAAACAGCCTTGGCAAAGTGGATCGTTTCTGAAGATTTTGGCCAGGAAAAAACCCAGAAATAACTAGGGACTAGGCAGAAGATTATATGTTTGGTCACAGCGACTAAATTTCTAAGTGCTTTGAAGTGGTATTTGGAAGGAACAACTTGGCAGGAGCCATCACCGGACCCACTAACCATCATCGAACCAGATAAGTGGTCTTTCCAAGATGACGTCAAACCGCTTGCAAACCCCTGTCGTGTCGAACGGCCATGGAACCTTCTGGAAGCTTACCACACCCAATCATGAGACTTTGGACTCATTCGAACACGGATCGTGCTTTTTCAAAGCTTGAGCTCCTACACAGCCTGCTTCACCTACAACAAAGATGTCCTTCCCTGCATCGGCATTCGATGTCTCGCACGACGCGTATGACGGTTATGACTGGCCAGCCTTCGATCCGACAGATGCTTTCCAGCATGCAACCAGTCTTCAAAGCGCTCAACACGCGACCGCCAGCCCTGTGGTGGTTGACGTAGAAGACGCTCAGACAGTCTCTTCATGTCTAAGCCCCAGCCCTAGCCTATGTCTCACCCAGGCATCTGTGTCGAGTGACAGTCTTCCCTTGCTGCAGCTGGCTGACTGGGATGAAAACGGGGCCTACGATGAGCAACCGCCAACGTGTATCCATTATTCCATCGAGTGGAAGTTGACAGCGAACAACAGAATAGTGTCCAAAGACAGTGAACCGGACCTGGTTCTTGCACCTAACGCATACTGGGAACGAACACTGCGCCAGAAGCTCGACAAGCTGGTAAGAAAGAAACTGCCATCCAACAAATCATTTAGGATAGATGATACCAACGTTACCGTGTCTGTGCGAGACCGCTCCCAACGTGACCTTGTCAAACGATTCGACGACCTTGATATTGACTGGCGAGTGGTGGAAAGACAGCTTAAGGCCTGGGGCAACCTCTTCCGCGCTGGAAAGGAACTCAGAGTCCAGATGTCTTTCAACTATGTGGAATCTGGGCCCCCGACTGCTGTACAACGAGGAACTAAGCGTGCCTTTTCCTCTGTGACGCAGGATAGGCTACATGAGCGCGCGGCGCAGCTAGACGCCGAAGAAAGCTCCACGGGTCAGCCATCTATTTGGCGTCGGGTCTATGCCTTGATGAGATGCCCTGGGCCGCCGTGCAGTCTGGGACCGCACTGCTGGATTGATGATTACGGCAAGAAGCATTACAAGCTGAAATCGCATCACTTTAGGTCTCTTATCCGACACGTGGAGCAGGGCGGTATGTTGGACAGTCAAAGTGACATGCCAGAAGATATTCGCGACCAGCTTTATGCCGAGGAACAGCAGCACGCCGAAAGACAGCGCAAGACTAGTGCTTCGTCATCAAGCAATCTCCCACCGATTAACATAACGAACGTGCTGCCAGCCTCATCACCTGTCGCATCGACCGTAGGTCCTGCAACCCCTGCTGCAGTCTCATCTCCTGTCTGCTGCAATGTTGCGTTGGCCTTGGAGATTCCAGGGCCGAGAGATGTAGCCGTGCGAAAGTATTGCGTTTGGCAGTGTTCCCAGGTAGAGAGCGAAACGCTCAAGAAGGAGTTCTGGAAGGCGTGCAAGGCCGCGCTCGATTGCGGTCTTGATCTCGAGCAGGTGCATGAAGATCAAAACCCCAACTTTTTCGTCGAACAAGGCGTCAAGGTTGGCATAGCGGGCCAGTTCGTCCGTGATATTGGAAAGTGGGTTGAAAAATTTAGTGGAGTATGACCGCTGGTAAATTAGACATTTAGATGGAGCTTAATCTTCTACGTTGTCAGGGCTCCTCAATAAAGATTCCCGCGTTTCGAAAATGACCTCTAGCGCTTGCCTTTCTCGCGCCAACCGTTTGCACACACCATTTCAGGAACCCTGGGAAGTCCTCCGCAGGGAGACCATCATGTTGTTGATAGTGGCGTTTGATGAAACTTTTGAGCTCCCCAAAATTCTCTTCGATAGGGTTGAGGTCAGGAGAGTATGGAGGGAGAAAGTGAGTTTTAACACCTGCTCTTGCACAGAGCTCTTGGATCCGATCGGAGTGATGAAAAGAGGCATTGTCCATGATGATGACAGATTTCGGCTATGGCCACCTTCCACAATAAGGTAATAGGTCCTCAATAAAGCTTTCGAATACCGTGCTGTCAGTAGTGCCTTGAAAGATGTGTGAGTATATAATTCCGTCTTGGGTATAGGCAGGCAAGATCTGGTATCGTCGGTCGCGATGAAAACGAGCGACCTGAATAGGGGTTACTCCCAGAGGAGACCATCCAGTTCTCCGGAAACCAGCACGCTTGTCACAGCCTGACTCGTCTACGAATACTAGGTGATAAGAGCGGAAGGCTGATAGTCCATGAAGGTAAAAGTCTCTGAGATCTGCGTTCCGCTCCTGAGCAACACGGCGGGCTACTTTCTTGCTCCAACCGGCGGACGCTAGAGCCCGGCTGATGCTTGATGCTGTCACCCAAATTTCGAACTCGTCCCAGAGAAACACAATCATTTCGTCTCGATAGAGATCGGGCTTTTCGATCAGTCTGTCGCACAAGGCACTCAGCATCGGCGGCGTGATGCTACGGGGCCGTCCAACCCCGTTAGGGGGAGCTCTTGTATTCCCAAAACATTCCAGATTTGCTCGTATGTTGTATACCGTCCGCGCACTACACCCTGCAGCATTGGCTATGCTGACATTCGTGAACTGTCTGCTTGAGATCATGTCCCGGATCAGCTCGTGTTGCGATGCAGCGAGGTTGGGTGCCATTGCGAGGCGGTCGTCTGGACATGCATTGTCCCCTGTCAAAACGTAGGCCTAGCATACTATACATATAGAGCTATGAAAGGCTAAGCTACTACATATACTGTAAGTAGCAGAGCCGGAATAGCTGATAGAGATATCGTGAAGCTGATTTCCGACATGATTTGGATTATAGCTACACACACACACACACACAATTTATTACGCCCGGCGGCGGAGCCGAAAGGGCCACTAAAGCTGACTACACACACATTGCTGAGCTTATGCCTTTGTCTCCTTAAAGCCCATAAGTGATGTCTTCGTTTCCTGTTTGCACCTCCATATCTGCCTTCTCACTGCGGATTCCCGTGGTTTTAGTTGTATTATTAGCATGCCATCTTGAAGTTACTTCTCCAAGTGTTCAACGTCCTATCTACGGCGGCTGAAGCGGTGCCTGCTGTCCATGGCACGATTATAGCTACAGTCGCGTTCGAAATTGGTTTCATGCTTTCCACACAAGAAACACTTCTTTCCTGGACATTTTGGTATCCACTTGCTGACAGGTACAGAGCGACCCATGTATAGTACTTGTTGGAAAGATGATAATACCCCTGTAGGTAATCCATAATCAGCTCTTTACTTTGCAAACATAGGGCTGAGCGTCTACAATAGCTGCCACTCTCTGTATCGTTTTCTCTCTGGGAAGTAGTGTGGAGACGTTCGCAGGTACCATGTCTGCAAACAGGTCCATTATTGTCTCTTGGTTGGAAGCGCCAGGACAATCATGCCGGAAACCGAATTCGGATTCAACTGTAGGTTGCCAACCACGCTGGCTTTGGAGAGAAGAGGATCAAAAAACGGATGAACAGTCAAGTAGACGTAAGCCAGTTCATAAAATCGAAGCTTGCATTAACTACACATATTTCAGCTGATTGTGGATCCTTGATTGTGCAACATAAAGCGTGAGTGCGAAACCACTGCAGAAGCCAAAAGGCGCTCTTTCAGTCTCCCAAGGTCCGACCGATGTTGCATAAGCGTGAAACAAATAAGCGTAATCTCTATTTTATGAAAATGAGTTGTGTCCATCTGGCTTTGTGCACCAGCTGGCGCCACCTGCTGTCTGCATCCATTTCATGATCACAACTCTCTTAAAAGTGGACAAACCTTCGAGTTGGCGTCAAGTTTGGCGGCCGTACAGTACATACACTTACATGCAAGTCTGTCTTCCTCTCTGAACTCGAACACTTTCTCTTTTAAATCAGAGTGGAGTCTGTAAGATACTCAGATCTACCTAGCATAGGTGAGAATAATCCAGAATTGGCTCCAGAGTAAGCTGCAATTAGCAGTGATTACCTAACGCTGAAGGTACTCAACAGTACTGATGGCAAAATAGCAAACGCCCCAGTTAATAACCTTTTATCATGACAGTGTACACAACAGGCTTCAGTACAGTACAGAACACAACGGCTTGAGTACATCAACTCAAATGTGGGAGCTTCTTAGCCATTTATTTTGAGCATAGAAAACGGATAGTGTGACTAGTTAATGACGTTAAGGAAGTCTATGGAAGGTTATAAAACACTATTGAGTGCTGTGGGTGTTTGGCCAAAACTTTAATGCCAGAAGAGAGAAAGACATGGTTTCGTAGTCGTTGCACGTTATCCCATCGGAAAACTTGGTTACGTTCCTTTGCAACAATCTAGGGAACTTTCTCCCGCTCAGACGTTTCGCTTCACCACATCAAAAGCTGGGTGTTCTAAGAGGTAGGGGTGGGATAGTTGCAGGCATCAACCACACCAGCTTCTCTCCTATCAACCCCTTGGAATATTCGCCGTTCGTCTTGATTAAGGTCAGGAATGATTGCCCTTTCCAAAGAATCTCCATTTTACAAGCGGTGTACAGGTTGAGTAAAAACCTGAGTTGATCGGGGCCTCCCTGATTCTCCCTCGAATGATTGTGAGTGTACCGCAGTAGCGGCAGAATGAAAACCAGCTTCCTTTCGTTGCGGTTCCGTGTCCTCATCTGTATCGATGGTGGCGTCCCAAACCTCAAGGACAATATTGACATTCAGCTTGGCGACGTCGTTGCTGGCCAGCCAACAGGACAGCATGCTGGAGTAACCCGGTACGTATAATAGTCAGGAACGTTGCAAGCTGACTAGGGCTGACTAGGGCTGACTAGGGCTATGTGACGGTTTTAGGCCCTCTCTTTATGGCAGTGAGGCAGTAGCATAGAAGCAGTACTGACGGCTCGTACGCTCAGACCTGTTACATGGGGAAACTGTTATACGGAGGCCCGCAGATTCACTGCATTTTCAACTCCACCAGAGACGTGAAAGTCGGCAAACGATGAAAATTGGTCTGTGTGTCGTCTTACTAGTAGTCTCCCGTTATGGCGGAACCAGTGGAGGCGAAGATTGTGGTGGAACCGGATAACGGCCCCTCTTCAGCGCCAAACCGCTCGATCTCAGTAGCGAAGTCAACGATCAAAATTCGTACCACATCGGCAGGAAGAGACAGCGCAGGCAGTAAGGCAACGATCCAAAAGGCGACGCCATCAGGCCCAATCGACGGGGCTACGGGGCGAACAAGCGACTTAGAAAGAACAGCAGCGGCGGCGGCGGAAACAGCGGAAGCAACGATGGCAGAGCGATGCTTCAAAGGCGTTGGAGTTGCTTGCGAACCTCGCAAGGAGTCCCATTGGCTGAAGGAAGCGTTCATGCAGCAGATGGAAGTAGTACGAAGCCAAAGAGACATGATACGCGATGAGCTTGAAGCTGAACGATGCCACGACGTAAATGAACGAAGAACTGGTCCGCGAACAACCCGAGACCCTTTCGATGACTGCGACAGACTCTCCTCAGTTGCACATAGTAGTAGTGATCGATCGCTATTCTCGACCGCGTCGAAATCAACTTGACCGGCATGCTAATCTTCATGACGGCTCTTCGCCTTATTGAAAATTAGCAGTGTCCGAAGAGCTGGTGTTCGGTGCCATGCGATTGAGCCACACTGTCTTAATAATCTCGATTCTGCGGCTGTGCAGAATATTCATATCGTTGTGTAGGATTTCAGTGATTCGAAGTAATTCTTTGCTTTGCTCAAGAACGTCGTCGAGATCATCTTGAGGACCCTTGGACAAAAGAAGCGCTTTCAGGGACTGAAATTGTTGCAGCTGCTGCTGGCTGGTCGCTACGATTCTGCTGCCTAGATTAGGAGAGTGCGTCGCGCATGGAACATGATATGGGCTTTCTCCCTTTGCTTCAGCCGATGCTCTCTGCATAATGAATGATGTGATGTTGACAAGGAACGCAATGAGGTTAATAGCGTGGCATGTGGGTGAACCGGCACAGAACTGCTCAGAAAGGTGATGTGTATGTGTGAAAACTAAGATTGACTAGCGGTGGTGGTGGAGGCTGGCAATAGCCGGTGGCCGGCTGGCTGCGGGTGGTGTGCCACCACGTGCCACCTCGCAGTGGGCCGCCACGGACATGGCGTGCGCTCTCGAAAAAAAAAAATTGCTCACAATTGAAGTGGCGTTGCTTAGTCTTTCAATTTACCATTGGTCGTGGGGTGGACCTGCCACCTTAGCCGCACCTAGATTGGTTCGTACTCCTGCCGCTATTTCCAAACTCGCTTATCGCACTATTCATGGTCAAGCATTCCCAATGCTGCGGAGCGTAGTTCGGTCCAAGTCTAAGTCTGCCCTACGGCCATCCGCCTGGCAGGACGGAGCTTGACACAAGGGATACAGACAGCTGGCTCGGTTCGGCCCGGTCTAATCGCGTTTGACGGGTCTTTGTCAGACGACCCTAGCACATAAGGCGGAATGAAACGGGATGAAGCACGGATCTGCCAGTGTTTGAAACCCCAGGGTGGCTTCGTGATCATGACTAAGTGGCACGTGCTGGCAGGCAATCCCACTATCTACATTAGCCTCAGACTTGAAGGCCGCCGCGTGAGCCTCTGTTACCTAGCATGTCTGCATTCCTGTATAGCACGTCTGGCACCATTTTAGGCACATTGGCAGCCCACATCAGAAATTGCCGTCCGCAACTACTTCTAATAGTATGACACCTCTCAACTCTTCCTCGGACTATACCCGAGATGGAGAGGTTTGCATGAGCCACTAAAAATGGATACTGTATGATGTGTAGGCCTTTGATAAAATGTGCAATAAATTGGGCTTTGTTTGCATGTGATGCGCTTTGGCTTGTCCACACGTAGGACGGCTTTGGTTGATATAGTCTGTGTTAGAATTAGTAGGGTTAGATGCGGGAATTGGTGAACGAGTATTAACCTCCCACAGAGTTTGGAAACCAATGGCCTTCTAGGATATTTCGCTGCTTAGCTATGACAGGATTTGACGGGTAGGTGACGTTATAGACATCGCAGAGTATACCTCGTGAAGAAGTTGAATCTCACTTACATACAACCTCAATCGCTCATTCAATTATGCGTCACGGTGACTAAGTCTTAGTCTTTAGCTAGCTAGTTTAACACCTGTTGCCTCATGACCGTCGCTATCTTCGGAAGTGCGTGGCGGCTTCCATGGGCTGTTTGTATACTACCAGGATCTGTTTGATGAGCACATGTGGCCTGTGCGTCACACGTGGCAACTTCCCCATTATTAGTCATTATCTGGTGGCTAACCGAGCTGGGAGCTGGCCCCTCTGCTTGGCCAGGTGTCCTCACCGTCTGAGGTCCTAGCTCTGAACTTCAGTTCAACCGGGATCAATCTACGAGATCCGGCCGGGGCGAACCGAGGGGATCCGCAAAATAAGTCTCAACCTTATTTGGCAGCAATGCCTACGGCCTCATCTGCCACAGGCACTACGGAGTCATGCGACTCTTAATACATTGAGCTGTTCTCAGCTATCGTGTTGGGCAGCAATTGAGCGGGCTATTGGTTCGCTTCACCCTGGTGGACAGCCCTGTATGTATTTGGTGCACAGAAGAGGAGCAGCCAATCACACCGGCGACCCCCAACCGTGGTTAGTCTGACGGCATCTCAACTTCTCGCATATAACCCCTCCCGATCAGGCTGAGGACGACAAGAACAACTCGTCATACGGTCCCGGCGGGCAATTGTTCAAACCAACAACTCTGCAACATCAACGCGTCTTGCTATCTTACATGGGTTTCCGCATCGACGTTTCTTCGCTGGTCTCTGCTACAGAGTTGAGGCACTATGCCGAGGCCTATTCCTGCTCGCGATTTCACTGTCGGCTGGGTCTGCGCGCTGCCCATCGAGTTAGCAGCCGCGGCAGAAATGATGGATGAGGAATACGCTGACCTCCCGTCCCAGCCGTCCGACTCGAACATCTACTCCTTTGGCCGCATCGGCGTCCACAACGTCGTCGCTGCCCATTTGCCCGCCGGCCAGATGGGCGCAAACCAAGCAGCTATTGTCGCGAGCCAAATGAAAGCCAGCTTCCCGTCGCTGCGATTCAGCCTCCTCGTTGGCATCGGTGGAGGCGTCCCAAACCTTGAGAACGACGTCGACATTCGGCTTGGCGACGTCGCTATTAGCCAGCCGACAGGACAGCATGGCGGAGTGATCCAGTACGATTTTGGGAAGACTGGGGCTGGCGGTCGCATCGTTCGCACGGGTAGTCTCAATACGCCACCGACAATCCTTCTCAACGGCCTAGCTAAACTCCAATCGAACGACGTCCGAGGCAAAACGCAGGTCCTCACATACCTCTCTCGGGTGTCTAATAAGCCAGAGTTTGCATCGCCTGGCCCCGAAAACGATACCCTATACCATGCATCATCGACTCATGCCATCGGAGCTACATGCGCAAAATGCCGTCCAGAAGACGTAGTTAATAGGAAGCCACGTGCGACAACCAAGCCGGTCCTCTTCTTCGGCAACATCGCATCGGGGAACCAGGTGATGAAGGACGGACTAACTCGCGATAGGCATAGTCGGGAACTGGGAGGTGTTTTGTGCTTTGAGATGGAAGCAGCTGGGTTGATGAACAATTTCCCTTGCATTATCATTCGTGGCATCTGCGACTATGCAGACGCACACAAGAACAAGTTGTGGCAGCCATACGCAGCGGCAACGGCAGCAGCATATGGCAAAGAACTGCTAACTACCATCCCAGCATTGGTTTCGGGTAACCTAGATGAGAAACAAGATTGTGAGTAAAGTCGCATGAGGAATGTGATATGAAATGAAAATATCTGCTGATGCCTATCAGTTCGTCTAAAACCACACTTCATCGTCCCATTCGGCCGGAATGAAAACTTTGTCGGCAGAGACGCGATCTTAAGGCAACTTCTCGAAAGGATTCCCCCGAGTGCTTATAAAGACACTTGCCAGAGGACAGCTATCGTTGGCCTCGGAGGGATTGGCAAGACGCAGGTTGCTATCGAAGCTGCCTATCGCGTTCGCGACGCACACCCCGACTGCTCTGTATTCTGGGTGCCGGCTGTCGACACGGTGATGTTTGAGAACGCGTATCGCGATATCGGCCGAGCGCTTAGCATCCAAAGCATCGAAGATGACGAAGCGGATGTCAAAGGGTTGGTTAAAGCTGCCCTAGAACGGGATGGTGATAGGAGCTGGCTTCTCATTATTGATAACGCTGACGATATGGAGTTGCTCTTTACCAACTCCAAGTTAGCGAAGTATTTCCCCTCTAGCAGAAAGGGCTCTATTCTGCTCACGACCCGTAACAAGCAGGTGGCAACAAGATTTAGCCGTGGTCACCCTCTATACTTACGGGAGATGGGCAGCATAGACGCCACTCAACTCCTGAATAGTGGATTAGACGAAAGCCAGATCAGCGACACTCGGATCACTACAGAGGTGCTAGGGCATCTCGCTTATCTACCTTTAGCTATCCGACAGGCATCGGCTTATATGGCTTCGAATAAGAGTGTGACGGTGTCTAAATATCTCGGATACTGTAAGGCTAGTGATGAGAAACTAGTGGGATTGCTTAGCAAGGACTTTGAAGATGAAGATCGATACGACGATATCCAGAACCCAGTGGTCAAGACATGGCTAATCTCGTTCGAGCATATATCAAGAGACAACCGGCTAGCAGCAGAGTACCTCGGCTTTCTATGCTACCTCGCGGAGAAGGACATCCCCCTAGCTCTTTTGCCGCCTAGTGAGGATGGGATAGACACCGATGAGGATATGGCGGCGGAAGAAGCAATAAGCATGCTAATGGCCTACGCGTTCATCCAGGAGCGAGACACTGAGGGAAGGATCGATATTCATCGGCTAGTGCGCTTGGTGATGCGCAACTGGGTAAGGGAGAAAGGAGAGGAAGAGGAGCAAGTGACAGAGACGATTTACTGGCTTAGCGAGAGGTTTCCATGGCCGGATCACAAGAATAGGGAAGTGTGGATGACGTACTTGCCGCATGCGCAAGCGGCACTTCGATTTCAGGATTGGTGCACAGACGAGGAAGCATTATGGGATCTGTTGGCTAATACAGGGCGAAGCAATGAGCTACTTGGAAAGTATGGCGAGGCGGAGCAGATGCATCGGCAGACACTGGAGATGAGGAAGAAGGTGCTGGGACCCGAGAATCCTAATACACTCAGCAGCATGAACAACCTGGCAGGCGTTTTTGATAGCCAGGGGAAGTATGAAGAGGCAGAGCAGATGCATCGGCAGGCACTAGAGATGAGGAAGAAGGTGCTGGGACCCGAGAACCCCGACACACTCGGCAGCATGAATAACCTGGCACTTGTGCTTAGAAGCCAGGGGAAGTACGATGAGGCAGAGCAGATGCATCGGCAGACACTAGAGTTGAGTCAGAAGGTGCTGGGACTCGAGAATCCCTCCACACTCACCAGCATGAACAACCTGGCAGAGTGCTTCGACAGCCAGGGGAAGTATGAAGAGGCAGAGCAGATGCATCGGCAGGCACTGGAGTTAAGTGAGAAGGTGCTGGGACCCGAGAATCCCGACACACTCACCAGCATGAACAACCTGGCACTGGTTCTTGGAAGCCAGGGGAAGTATGAAGAGGCAGAGCAGATGCATCGGCAGACACTGGAGTTGAGGAAGAAGGTGCTGGGACCCGAGAATCCCTCCACACTCACCAGCATGAACAACCTGGCACTCGTTTTTGATAGCCAGGGGAAGTATGAAGAGGCAGAGCAGATGCATCGGCAGGCACTGGAGATGAGGAAGAAGGTGCTGGGACCCGAGAATCCCTCCACACTCACCAGCATGAACAACCTGGCACTCGTTCTTGAAAGCCAGGGGAAGTATGAAGAGGCAGAGCAGATGCATCGGCAGGCACTAGAGATGAGGAAGAAGGTGCTGGGACCCGAGAATCCCGACACACTCGGCAGCATGAATAACCTGGCACTTGTGCTTAGAAGCCAGGGGAAGTATGAAGAGGCAGAGCAGATGCATCGGCAGACACTAGAGTTAAGTCAGAAGGTACTGGGACCCGAGAATCCCGACACACTCGGCAGCATGAATAACCTGGCACTTGTGCTTAGAAGCCAGGGGAAGTATGAAGAGGCAGAGCAGATGCATCGGCAGACACTAGAGTTGAGTCAGAAGGTGCTGGGACTCGAGAATCCCTCCACACTCACCAGCATGAACAACCTGGCACTCGTTTTTGATAGCCAGGGGAAGTATGAAGAGGCAGAGCAGATGCATCGGCAGGCACTAGAGATGAGGCAGAAGGTGCTGGGACCCGAGAATCCCGACACACTCAGCAGCATAAACAACCTGGCAGGCGTTCTTAAAAGCCAAGGGAAGTACGAAGATGCAGATCAATTATATCAGAAGTCACTGGCGCTAAGGGTGGGACAAAGAGATGCATTCCACGGCAGTGGCAGCGCGAACCAGTACCGGCCACCTGAAGATTATGTGTCGTGCAATACACTCTCCGGCTTCCCACACACATCACCAAATGAGCTTAAGAAGAAGGTGCTGGGATTGGCGTATTCTTTAAGCCGTAGGGCAGACCGTAATGTTGCTGATAACATTGAAGTGAACGCAGACTCTAGTTCCACGACTTCAGTAGACTAAATCTGCTATAGCACATACTAATCAACCTTCTATTTCTCTGTCGCAATGGCTCACAGTACCATATCCGAGGGAGAAGCGACAGTACTACTGTAATATCTTGAAAGCATCTTACTTAGGCGCCACGAACAGGACTTTTGCAAACGTGCCCAGGGCCCTGACGATGGGACTTGTCTGTGTAGATTCAAAACAACAATTTATGCATATGTATGATTCAATAAGCACAAGCAAGATGCATAAGGCTGAGGACCATGTTTATACAGCTTGTGCTAGCTTTCTGTGGGTCTTTGATCTTTCAAGGTAGGCTTGAATTGCCGAAACAGTGTGAGGGCGACTTCTGGCTCTTCTGTCGAAGTCATTTTAGAATGTACCGAGGGGTTCTGAAGATGTACCCTGTCAGCAAGCGGCTCCACAAGTGTCTGTGCACAGAAAGTTTTTCCATTTGACAAGCCGGAAACCGATTTCGATTTTCTCTGTAGGGAAAATGGGCACTGGACAAGCTGTATTATCATCGAGGAATCATTATCTTTTGTTGTTGCTGTTGAGGGTTATTTGGGTGTTTTGCGAAGGGGCGGTACCGAAACGCGTGGCGCGGCGCTAGTGGACCCACTTTCGGTGCGTTCCGTCGTGAAACATGCAGGCGGATTCGGATACGATCAACGTCGCGTCCGACTCGGGAGAGGCCAGCGGAACGGCGCGACCACTTCGACGGATACGGAAACCGACAACCAAGGCCCTACTAAACGAAGGAAACCGAGACACTCTCGACGATGGGGCCGCAGAGCCGAGCGAGCAGGGAGGAAATGGGGTGCGGAGGGCGACCACTAGGGGCGCGCCAGCCGCCAGAGGAAGGATCAAGGCGATCGAGGACGACGACAGAACACTGCTCCTGGCCATGGGAAAGCAGATGAAGGAACTCCACGCATCCCTCCAGGTGGTTTTCAATGCCTGGAAGAAATCTGAACTGCGCAACAGGGACATCCAGGCCGAGCTTCGACAAACCACGGACGAACTTCGGACGGCGAGCGAGGAACTCCGGTCAATCAAGGACGAGCTGGAGACAGTCCGCAGCGACCTGCAAGCGTTGAAGCAGCAAGTTGAAGACGATAACACGAAGACATGGGAAAAACTTGAGGCATGTACGGCTCTGGCTCCGGCGCGAAGCGACTCCAGCCCATCCTATGCCGCTGTCGCCCGAACCGCCTCGACGAACCAATACAGCGACGCACGGGCCCGCACGCCCGGCGCAACACCGACCAACACGACCGACACTCTGTACTGCACGATCGACACCTTCAGCGCTGAAGAGGAAGATGGAAGCAAGCCCAGCGCGGGCACAATCAGGGCGGCAGTGGAAAAGGAAATGCGTGCGGACGGGCATGCGGGATGGCGGTGCCTGGCCGTGACTGTGAACCCAAGGAGTGAGAATCTCATCAGAGTTGTCTGCCGAGATGATGCGGAACACCAAATGGTCAAGCAAATCGCGGAGACAAAGATCGCCCCGGGTATACGTGTCCGAGACGACGACCTGCACCCAATCAAGGTAGACTTTGTGCGATGGACATCCGTGTGGGAGGAGAAAGGAAAGTACAGAAGTAAAGCAGCGGAGGAATTTAGCAAGGAAAACCACGCTACTGTCGCCAAAATCGTATGGCTAAGCGATCAGGAAAACCCGAAAGCATACGGATCGATGGCGGTCTACTTGACCAAAGCCAGCGACGCCAGAAGACTTATTTCAGAGGGCTACTTCCACGCAAGCGGAGAATCAGGAACCACAGGGGTGTTCAAACCCCAATCCCGACCACAACAGTGCTTCAAATGTCAGCAGATCGCTCCGCACAAGGCAGTCCGATGCCCGAACCGCTTGGTGTGTGGAAGGTGCGCCAAGGAGGACCATCACCACAAGGATTGCCGTGAAACGGCACTGAAGTGTGTTCCTTGCGGTGGTGCGCATGAGTCTTTCAGCAAGAAGTGTCCGAAGCTCTACCCATCTCTCCATGAGTAGAAACTTTCAGGTTCTTCAACTGAATGTGAGGAAACAGGATGCAGTGCACGAGAGCCTGATGAACGACGAGAGACTGCAGGATTTCACGGTTATAGCCGTGCAGGAACCGTGGGTGTGGAAGAGAGAGGGGAAGATCTTGACGGTGCCGATGCGGCACAGTAGGTGGACTAGGATGGTTCCGACGGCGTGGAGGGAGGAAGGACGGTGGGGCATTAGGAGTATGCTGTGGGTGAACAAGGAAATCGAAGCGGAGCAAGTGCCGATACCGTCACCGGACATAACAGGAGCCGTTCTTCGACTCCCGGGTCGTCGGGTGCTGATTGTGTCTGTGTACGTGCCGGCACAAGAGCCCGAGATGCTTCGCCGCACATGTTCAATGTTACGGCAGGCAATCGCGGGAGTCAGGAGTAGCGCAGGCGAGGTGGTGGACGTGGTCTTTGTTGGTGACTTTAACCGGCATGACCAACTATGGGGAGGAGATGACGTCTCGGCGACCAGGCAGGGAGAAGCCGACCCGATCATCGAGTTGATGAGCGACTTGTCACTCAGGAGCCTCCTGCCACGGGGGACGAAAACGTGGCACAAGAACGACGCGGCAACGACGATCGATCTGTCAATCGCATCTGAGGACCTGGCAAGGATGATGACAAGATGCGCCTTGCACGAGACAGACCACGGATCGGACCACCAAGCGATTGAGACAACGTTTGAGATTGCGACTCCTGACACGGACAGCAAACCTCGACTTTTGTTCAAGAACGCGCCATGGAAGGCGATTAATGCCAGGATCGAGGCCGCGCTGCAATGTATTCCTACGGGAGGCACAGTGCAGCAGCAGACAGACCGGCTCATGTCTACTGTAACGGTAGCAGTAGAGGCGTTGACGCCTACAGCCAAGCCGTCTCGGTATGCGAAGAGGTGGTGGACGGAGGACCTCACTCAGCTGCGCCGGATCCACACATTCTGGAGGAACCGAGCGAGGGCGGAGAGACGGGCCGGCCACTGCCCGCCGGACCTAGAAGAGCAAGCGCAGGCAGCGGCGAAACAGTATCATGACGCAATCCGACAACAGAAGAAGAATCACTGGCAAGGGTTTCTGGCCGATGACACGAACATCTGGAAGGCAGTCAAGTACTTAGGCGCCGACAAAGGCGCCTCATTCGACAAGATCCCCCAGCTTATTAGGGCGGACGGCTCCAAGACGGCGGAAAAAGGAGAGCAGGCGGAGGAACTGCTGTCTACCTTCTTCCCTCCGCTCCCGAACAACATCGAAGATGAGGGACAGCGTCCGCAGCGGCCACCTGTGCCATTCCCCGATATTACGTTGGAAGAAGTGGAAAGGCAACTGTTCGCAGCCAAATCGTGGAAAGCACCCGGAGAAGATGGGTTGCCGGTGGCCGTGTGGAAGCAGACATGGCCGATAGTGAAACACCGGGTACATGCGCTGTTCCAAACGTCGGTGAACGAGGGAGAACTACCGAGGCAGTGGAGGCATGCAAAGATCATCCCGCTGAAGAAACCGAACAAGGATGACTACACCGTTGCAAAGGCTTGGCGACCGATCTCGCTGTTGTCAACACTGGGGAAGGTTTTAGAGTCGGTGATGGCTGAGAGGATATCTCATGCGGTCGAGACACACGGGCTCCTGCCTACCAGCCATTTCGGTGCTCGGAAGCAGAGGTCGGCAGAACAAGCCTTGGTGTTACTTCAGGAATACATCTACAGAGCGTGGAGGAAGAGAAAGGTCCTCAGCCTGGTCAGCTTCGACGTCAAAGGCGCATATAACGGAGTGTATAAAGAAAGACTGCTCCAGAGACTCAAGGCGAGAGGAATACCAGAAAAGCTGGTGGAATGGGTTGATGCATTCTGCTCGCAACGAACGGCAAGCATCCAGATCAACGGGCAGGACTCGGAGGTCCGCTCCCTGCCTCAACCTGGGCTGCCTCAGGGCTCGCCGCTGTCGCCTGTTCTGTTCCTTTTCTTCAACGCGGATTTGGTCCAGCACCAAACCGATGAGAATGGAGGATCACTAGCATTTGTTGACGACTATACGGCGTGGGTCACCGGACCGTCGCGACAGGCGAACCGGCAAGGGATCCAGGCCATCATTGACCGAGCGCTCGATTGGGAACGACGAAGCGGGGCGACATTTGAGGCAGACAAGACGGCTATCATACACTTCACGCGGAACTGGCGACATCCGGAAGATTACGCAACCTTCAACATCAAGGGTGATACAGTTCGGCCCAAAGACCGCGTGAAGGTCCTGGGCGTGATCATGGACACCAAACTCTATTTTCAGCAACACATCGCAGAAGCGGCGACGAAAGGTCTCGAAGCTGTGTTGGAACTCAGACGACTGAAAGGCCTATCTCCGTCAACGGCAAGGCAACTCTTCGTGGCGGCGGTAGCGCCGACAATAGATTATGCGTCGAACGTCTGGAGACACAGGTGCAGGACAGCCCAGATGAGGGTCATCAACAGGGTACAGAGAATTGGAGCCCAAGCCATCATTGGAACATTCAACACGGTGGCCACAGCGGTTGCCGAAGCAGAAGCAAGCATACAGTCGGCCCAGGAACGATTTGACAGGAAAGCGATCAAGTTCTGGGTGCGTCTCCATACATTGCCTACGAGTCATCCACTGCGACGTATCAGACCTCAGGGCTTCAAGAGGCACATCTCGCCTTTCCAGAAGATGGCCGCAACATACCGAAATCTGCCGGTGGACAGGCTGGAAACCATCGAAGCGTTCCCACAGGCACCATGGGAAAGCCAAATGCTTACGGTAGTGGAAGAAGACGGCGACAAAGCGACCAAGGCGATCCAGACTGGCTGGGCCGTGAGAGCTGTCACAGGTAGCTCGGCAAGAAACGGAATCGTAGGATACGGAACAGCAATACTGCTCCCCCTGTCTCACAGGAGAGGCGGCTCCACGACGACAATATCAAACACAACTGGCTCTAGGGAAGAGCAGAATCCATATACAGCAGAGCTCACGGCGATAGCAAAGACGCTGGAGACCCTCTCGAAAGGGATCCGTTATCGTGCCATCTACGTGTTTTCCACCAACAAAGCGGCCGTCTTAGCAGCAGGGAAGCCTCGACAACAATCAGGCCAACAAGAGATCCGTCGCATATGCAAGGCAGTCAACACTCTCATAAATAAAGGCAACAAGATTACACTCTTCTGGCTTCCGGCAGGCGTAGACTCTGACATCAAACTGGAGGCCAAGGCAGCGGCGAAAGAGAGCACGCAACAAGGAAAGACGCCGAAGAAGAAGCCAACCAGGGCATACTCAACCACAATCAGAAAGGCATTGAGGGGACTACAGAAGTACTGCAGGTTACCGGAAGGGGTAGGAAATTTCTCGAACAGAGTCGACGCCGCCCTGCCGGGAAAGCATACACGGCAACTATACGACTCGTTTTCATGGAAGGAGGCCAGCATACTGGCCCAGTTACGGACGGGGATGGCCAGGCTCAACTGGTACCTGCACCAGATTGGAGTGGCCCCCTCGGACCAATGCGCATGCGGACAAGCAGCAGAGACGGTCGGGCATTTCCTCTTCCGTTGCACCCAGTGGACAGAACAACGCGCACCGATGATTCAACGAACTGATACACACAGAGGCAATCTGTCATTTTACTTAGGCGGGAAGACCGCATCCGACCCTGACGATTGGTCGCCGTACATGGACGTTGTAAGAGAAACAGTGAAGTTTGCCATGGCAACGGGACGACTCGATATGCAGATCAATCAAACTTAGGACAGCAACAGCACAACACCACATTTCCAACACCAACCACCGACTAACCCCTTACGCACCCTCGTGCCACCGACAGCAGGACTCGCTTCAGCCGCCGAGGATAGGGACCTGAACACTTGGAGGAATGGGCTCCAAGATCACCTGCTACTAACCCTCACGAGAAACCGCAAAGATTGGAAGGAGTAACCAATGACACAGACGGGAGTGGATCTTGCTTATGGGTTTATATGAGATCAGGGTAAAAACTCAACAAGGAGAGCATGTAAGATAGACGTAAGAGCCCTTTATGGCTTAGCCAGGGCGTAATTGACTCTGTGTGTGTGTAGGGAAAATGTCAACTTGTGACGGAAACCGAACGAAAGGCGCAAGCCTTCTGCGACAAGCGCTTGAAAACTCCCGGTTACTTTCCAATTCGATGGCGGAATCAGCCGACCTCAACGCATCTCCAAGCCAGCAGCGAACCCCAGAAGCGCTTTTATATAAGGCTAAGGACAAATGTGTGTACTGCCGGAGGCATTCGAGTGTTATCTCAGAGTTGGCTCTATGCGAAGATGGCAATAACACAAGCGGCTAAAGATTGTCAATAAATAAAATAGCAAAATATTTCAAGACACCATCCATAAGCTATCCAAAGAATCGGAGGTACCATAGCTATAGCTATGACACGACATAGGTACTGAAAAGAACTTCTTGTGCTGTCTAAAAGCATTTGTTCTCGAGTTCAAGTTAGTCTGACTCCTGAGATCTGGCGTGTATCTTATAGCACACGGTGGTTTGTACACACGCAAAACTATATAGTGTCGTGTAACACTTTTTAACTCTTTGCGTTCTGACACTATTACAAGACGCTCCTGGGCAGCTGGAAGACTTATTTTTAATTAGGATACTGGTCTATTAATTCTGTCTTTCCTTCTAACATTACGTCAGCGTTTAGTCGTACGCTCCATCTGACCATATCACTCATGCTCGTCTTTCTGAAACCATCCCCGTGATTCCCAATGTCGCTCATAGTGCCGGTTGTGTTGTAATACAGTTGTGCGGTTTTTGTCCCCTTGAGCCCTCGCAGAAGGCCCTTAACAAGATGTCGTAAGCGTCGCTAACGTCCTTTAGAGCTACTTCCTGCAGCAGCTTCCTCGCGCCTTTCTGGCTAACTGCGTATCCCAGTGTACATACGCCCTCTTGGGCGTGGTGTACCGCTCGCGTGTGCTCCGGGTATTTCTCTATTAGCGTGAACGGGATGTTGAACGTCCAGAGATTCTTTTTCGGCGCGACGGTAACCTCGTTTGTGTGGATGATGCGAGTCCTGGGGACATTCTTGTTATTTTCAAACGGGAAATGCATACCGCAGTGACCGATCCAGAGAAGGTCCCAGTCGTCGCCATAAGGAGACAATCTCGGTGGGACTGTTGCTGGGAGGTGGTGGAAGGGGATATCTATGAATGTTCCATCACCGGTAGGGTTTTTGTATGTAGGGTCTGCGTACAGTACGACAGAGGGGCGCCTATAAGAGGTTGGGTAAGCGCATGAGTTGACACAGCGAAATCACGCAGTTGATCTCTGATTCTAACGTCCCAGTCGACGTCGTCTTCGAGAATAAGAACGGAAGACAAATTCCTGCGGACGACGCTAGACGAAGTCTGTCATTTAGCTCATGGTGACTTTGCTGGATTCAAGGAGGAGGATCAGATTACTCTGCAATAGCGTTCATGTGTCCGCGCCAGCAACCTATGGCGCCGTTACTTAGCCGATCATGCTCGGTTGTTTTGGGGATCGCCTTTTCCACTACCGTGTCGCCAGCAACGCTATCAATGAACTCGATATCTAAATTGTTGAGAGAAGACTGGAGAACCATGCTATCTCGGCGATCTGTCCGTGAAGGCAGACTAACAACCAGGATCTTCTCAAACTAGAGTTATTGGGGAAGTCAACAACACGTTCAGGTACTAAGGGACTGGTAATGCTCACGCCCAGGGTGCTATGGCCAATACTGTTCATCAAGCCTGAGTAAGACGTAGACCTCCGGCTCTCCCCGACGTCGTTGACGAATGGGTTATGCAAAATGAAAATGAAAGTTATGAAGACTGCGCCGACAATAGATAAGTCCCTTTTAGACGTTGATCTGCTAGGTAGATACGCCATGTTCATTCCGTCGGCGAAAAATCGCCTTCGAGATTTTGATCCCTCAAAATACGGAGCTAGCCTTGTGATACATAGCAATGGGAGACTGTTTGAGTAATAACGGATTTGGAAGCTCCAGCTAGCGTGCTAATGGGTTAGATATAGCTGGCGAAATAAGCCATTTAGAAATCAATTGACGTTCTAATTTGTTTGCACTGGATACGGAGATAGGCATCCAATTATAGCTGTAGGTCTGTTGGCTTTCAGACTCTTATTATTTGTTTTCATTTTCGATCAATCTATGGCTGAAGGGAAGATACTACGATGCTTTACAGTACAGTGTAGACGTACGGTACTTCTGTATCAGTCTACTAGTCTCAAATCGCATTTTGAATCTGAAGAATGAATTGTTAAGGAGTGGTACTGTAAATAGGTTGATTCCGCACTGTCGGAATTCTAGGCGCAGTCGCTTTCGTATCGGCTGCCCAAAACCTAGGAGGGAGAGATTGTAATCTTTCGGTTTTCGCTATAGTGATATACAGGATATTCAATTACAGCTGCTGAAGACTATAGACCACTCTCTTGGAACGCCGAGTCCCTTCTACTTTCTAAGTCATATAGCAACTATCGATAGGTCACAGCTGGACGTTCTGAATCTGGCACAATACTTGGCTGCGAGTACCGTGCTTGATGAGAGATTTGTTGATATCAGACCGAGCCAAGTCGAAGCTGCATCGTATTTTCTCTCCTAGATGCTGCTTGAGAAGTTTTCTAGCGGACATGATCGTTTAAATCTAGTCTGGGTAAGTAGATATTGTGTGGTTTGGCTTGGCAATTAACACGGACCAGTTAAACAAGCACTCCAAAGTTTCATAATACGAGAAACGCGAGATAAGGCTTCTATCATCGTTTATCCTACTTAACATACGGCAGAAGGGTGTGGTTGAGTATCTCGACATACTTATAAATGATAATGACGAGTTTATGTACGTCGCTAGTGTCACTGACAAGGCGAGGAGAGCTTGCGTCTCTATTAATGCTCTACAAGTCAAATCCTACGGCGTTTCGGAAAGCAAGAGAACACCCCATAGGCTTTCTTAGTTTAATAGTTGATCTATGTGTTTTCAGCGTACAAATTAGTTACCATACAGTAACAGATTTATTGTTTCACTCTAGCAGTTCGTGTCTTATTTGACGAATAGACCATCGCGCAAATGTTGCGCACCAACCAAGATGTCATTCTGTTGCATCGATCGTTGATATTGCTCGCGCTAGACTCAGATTGTTTCAGCGAATGCATTCAAGCCAACTAACAATCTCAATCTACTAATTCGGCAACATCTACCGTCTACCGAACCCCGGAGAAAGTCAATGAGTGCGTCCCCGCGGCAATCCATCCAGCTATGCCCACGGTTACCACACATAAGAATCCAAACCAGAGGGCAAGGATAGCAGCGAACTGCCACGCATGTGCAGCTACAAACCACAACAACATGCCAATAATCCATTGGACGGATGCACAGTCCAATAAAAAAATCGGGATAAATGCCACGACCCAACTAGCACGGCCAGAGTTTTCAGAATCGCGACATTCGAACGAGAGCATAATCGTTGTCGTGGCGGTGAAGGCTGTTGTGATGGCAGAACTAACCAGCAGAAGCCTCGACAAAGTAGCCAGCATCGACGTCGTTCTTGGTGGGACATTCGACAACACGGCCATGGCGTTGGCACCCAAAACAGCGCATGCGAGAAGGATTATCGGGTACAGGCTCTTTAGTCGTTCAACCGCTGTAGCTACAGCATTGATTAGCAAGCTTACTGTATGCTTTCTCAATGGGCGGTAAAACCTTTGTGCTGTATCGGCATGAACATTTTCGCTTCTGTAAAACTCATTGCGGAATGAGCTGTTTGATCGCTGGTGTGTGGATAGACACTCGAAGAAAGGCTGTTGCCGAAAAGACCAGCTATATAGATGGATTCAGATTGGTTATGGTATCGTACAGTGCAGACGTGACCGAAACGCGTTTCTGGTTTTTGGGTGTCGGAAGCGAATCCGTTGCACATGTTTATATATCTTCCAGCTGATGAGAACTGGTGCGATACGTGATCGTCACTGGCACATTGACGGCAGTGCTTTCATCAAATAGCTGCAACTGGCTCTTGGCATAGCCCAGCAACCAGGATAATGTGGAGGCTGCTTTTTTGTCTCATAGAAAAATCAGCTTCTGTTAGTTACAGGGGTTTGCGAACGGATCCATCCCATTTCCAACACACTTCTGGTTTTTTCGCACGGACGTCTAATGCTTTGGCATGCTTTGGAGCAAATATTGGCTCTTTCGTCATTGCAGCGGGGTTTCAAGAGGACGAAGGACTTTCGGCTGATCAGTCTGCTAAAGTCTGATCTTTGCGTACGTAAAAGCGTACTAAAACAGCTGCACAACAGGGGGCTCAGAGGCTGAAAGCACATTCCCATCGGGATTACACAAGCCGAAGTCAGATCCCTCTTTTCTATAGCATTCACATTTTTAGAACTAAGTATGACTGCTATATCCGCCTCGCAGGTTTACAGACTAGCGTTTATACTATATACTTCGGATGACTTGAGCTTATAATTATAGTACAAAATCGGTCATTATACTTCTCGTCAAGGCAGTACAGCGAGTTGTACTCCCGGCTCTGTCCGGATAAATGACGTTTGATAGCCCAGAAGACCCACATATCAACGCAAGGTCCGTGAACCGCGCGGCATCTAGTGCCGCTACATTCGACTTAGATAGCGCTCAAGGCATCTAACGTAGTAAGAGTCAGGATAATAATATATAGAACAAACCACCGCATGACTCACAGGGTAGGCTGTGTGGTGGCCACGGCTTTGTTCTCTCCTTATGCTGCAGAGGCTGCATGACATTATAAGCAGAAGAAAAAATATGCACGCGAGTCCTCCGATAATGCCAATTTCGACCGGTGTCATTGCGGAGGTGAATGAAGAGTATCAAAAAGGATGAATGGCAGAGGCATAGTGTTTCTATATACATGCTATAGCAGAATCAAAATTTGGCTTACGGCTTTCGTGCACGTGGTGCACTTCGGCTTAGCATAGTGCCCAGCTCAGCAAAGAACTATTTGACTTCGCAGTAGTCCGTGTGTTTTCCTAGCTTTAGCCCCTATAACGCATACGCAGGCAGCGTATAGCAACTACAGTAATGGCGCTGTAGTCCACTGTAATTGTGACGGTGTAACCGGCCGTCGCCATTGAACTGGTGACATGGGGGCCCCACCAGTCCCTATAAAAATAGCGCCTTCAAGGCCTAATGTGCTGTTGTAGCCGGATCGTTGCAGCTGCTCGCATACCCCCGTCTCACTTCGCAAGCTGGGAGAAGCCGAGAGGCCAACTCGACTTGTTCAACGTCAGGTTATTCCTGTCACAGCCACTTCGCATCCGCCGTGCAGAATGTCCCGTGCTATTGAAATGCCTTGACCGATCATTTCAAGAGTTGAGTCATGGTATTTAGACGTTATGACGCGTTGGGCGCAGCAGCTAAAGGCTGTGAGTATAGTCACGACACTTAGACGCAAGGACAGGAGATGATCAGAAATGGAGCCAATAGTTATGTACGAATGATGATAGCTTCAATTCGAACACCTGCCATGTTAGGCAGCTTGACCGACGGACGAACAGTATGGGCAAGGCAGATTCAGCTAAGCCTGGTTGTCCCCGGAGGGATCATGGCCTAAGAAGATGTGTCGGAATAGTGTGTTTTCTTTTCCGGCAAGGCCAAACGATTCACTGCCACCAGCCTCCAAGCCGTCGAATCTAATCGAAGAAATTCGAGTATTTGCTTACACACACTAATCGCCGTCTTCAACAATCAGTCTCGTCGAATACGTCACTACAAAATGAAAGGCTGCCCAGCTCATAGGAAAATCTCTCCCGAACTACGCGGCTTATATCTTGATTAAGATGAACAATTTGACTCAGCACTGGAGGAGGTTGCTCTTATGGCGTAGTCGATAAAAATAACAACTAGTCTTTTGGTTGCTTTCATCGTCACGAACGAAGGAAACACGGAGGCAGCGGATCCAACCCTATCATCGCTCCGTCGATACACACTAATGATGAGCCATTGTTTGCAATTAACAGATACGGGCCGTTGCAGAAATGGTAGGCCGATAGTATCATGGCCCTTCTCATACTTGATCTAAGGTAGACGGCGTAGGCATACGCCATAGTCGTTCAATTTCGAAGTTGTGTGCGGCGGCAGGCGCAGACCTAACATGGCGATTCTCGTTTCCCCCGTAAGACCCTAATAAGTAGTCTGAAGTCGGGTGACGTCGGAATCTTGCCATGCTATAGGTCGGATTATTCGCTACACATGGTGATGCAAAAGCGTGGCTGACTCAGCCCTGCCTAAGTACCGCAGCCTCCACAAGCCAATAATGTACGCCAATGACCTCCAAAAGCGGCTTCGAAAATGCAAAATTAAGAGGTAGCAAAGTTTGCAACCAGTTTTGCAATGGCAGGAGCCCATGATGGCGCTGAATAGGCGTCGCTCTGAAATCTCTGCGCGCGATTTTCTCAACGATCATGTATTGTTCTTCCCGTAACTGCTTTCGCTTTCATATCAGATTATACGGGGTTGTTTGGCATGTAAGCAAGATCTGTGCTATGTACTTTCTTTACTTGAGCTTTGTGGTACTGTAGTTTTCTTGCAACTTAGGAGTGGGCGTAAACACCGTACTTGGGCCACGCTTAACCTTGGGATAGCCGAACTCCGCCTTGGCCTGGCCCCTTGGCATCTATTCTGTGCTCGGAATGAAGCTCATTCTTCAATGGGACGCGCTTGATCAGGAGGCTTATCAGAAGCGCCGCCCCTGACATCCCGACGTACAGCCCGTAGACGCCTCGCAAGCCGTACACATAGGCGTCCAAGATCTTGGCCCTCAGCTCAGCATCGGTGGAGGAGCGCAACATGGCTGCAACGGCGTGTGTGTCTCCTCGTGCGTCGGAGCCTAACGACCCATAATTCTCCAACTTGAGTAGCATGACGTTCTGGAAGGTGGAGCCGCCAATGCCGACCCCGAGTGCCATGCCAAATTGCCTAAGGAAAGAATACATTGCAGCGGCTGCACCCTCGTCGCCGTCGTCGCAGATGGCCTGGGAGGCCATGTTCTGCGCGTTCAAAATGGCGCCGTGGCCAAGACCAAGCAGAACAAGTGTTGGCGCCCATACCTTCGCTGGCGTGTCGGCATCCCAGAGCAGCATCAGGCCGGACGCAATACTGGCCAGAGTCCAGCCGGCCCAGATAGGATTCCGGTAGTTGTCCTGTTGTGTCACGAGTCGACCGGTGATGATGGACGCCGGCACGAGTGTGAACATCACCGGGAAGAGTGCGATGCCAGTCTGCACCGGCGTGAAGCTCTTGACATCCATGAAATAAAGAGGCACGTAGTAGAGCTGCCCGTACATCTGCAATCGTTGTTAGCGGTCCACTTCGTCCATGCAACATCATGTCGCACTTACCACAAGCCCCTGGATCGCGCCGCAAGCATAGGTTGCAATAGAGCCTGCGGTTTGGAAAAGTCGCCCACGCAAAAACGGATAGGCTGCGAAGCGATACTCGTACATCACGGTCAAGGCCATACCAGCCGCACCGAAAACCAGAGGCAGAAGGGTCCCGATGCTGCTCCAACTGTAGCGCAAGCCGCCCCAGGAGACAGCTACCAGCAACAAAGTTGCGGAGCAGACGAACAGGGCGTTGCCGAGCCAGTCCATCTTTCTCAGTCTCTCATTCATAGGTGCAGCCGAGTTTTCGACATTAGCCGAGCAGGGCACAAGAACGAAGCCGGCGGCGCAGAAAGGAAACATGATGTAGAATATCCAACGCCAAGTGGTGTTCTGAGCAATGACGCCGCCTAGTATGGGGCCAGCGCAGTTGCCCAACGCCCACGCGCCCTGACTGTGAAACGACCTGCGTGTTAGCGGACGAAAAGGGTATTTTGGAGGGGGCCTCCTCACACGATGCCGTACCACTTGGGCCGTTGCCGCAGAGGAACAAGATCAGTGAAAATGACCAAGCACAGAACCATGATTCCACCACCACCGACGCCTTGGAGTGACCGCCCGACCAGCATTAAGCCGATCGAGTGCGATAGGCAGCAAGCTATGGTACCGAGAGCGAAGAAAGCAACGGAAGCGGTCAAGCACAGCCGTCGGCCGAGCACATGGCTAAGTTCAGCGATGAACGGCATCATTACGGCATTGGCTAGCAGATAGGCCGTACCGATCCAAAAGCCGTCGTACGTACTAAGCCCAAGGTCCTCGATGACAACCTGCGACTGTAAGCTTACTTTATAACGAACTTGGCCTTGCGAACATGACTGACATGTAATGAGGTTACGATGACGCAGGCGTCGAGGGCAACCATAAGTGACAGCATAGCCAGGATTGCCATCAAAAAGAGGTCGCGTCTCTGCGGCTTCCACTCGATTGGCATGTTTTCATCACTACAATCTTCGGCCCTACCACGATCTGTAGACTTCTGTTGATGCATATTGTGTCTAGAGATGGATTCAGAAGACAAAACAAGATTTTGAACAATGTACCTGTAGACTGTAAAAAAAGTACTATGCAAGTTCCAGGTCTGAATCTGGTGGACTGCGTTATCTTTATAGCCATATTTATGTGCAGATAACCCTTCCCCTTTGAACTCAAACACTTGTTCTTTAACTCACTCAGCATAGAGCATACAGAATACCTGGAGGTACCTAGCGAGATCGAAAAAATCCGAAAATGGCTATAAAACAAGCTGCAACTGTTTGTGACTAGGCAGTGCGGCTTGTATTCAAAAGTACATAAAGTGGACCTTGAATACCCTATCTGATAGCACTAGGAGGAAATAATGTAGGTGATAAGCAAAAACACTTGGTACCGTTGGCCTGGATGACAGAGAGGTTTGCGTTTTGTGAGCCATTAGGCATCGAATTGAACTACAGCCCCTGGCTAGGGACATGAAATGGTGGTTGAATCTAGCTGTCGAGTCCTCTGTTGAAAAATCGATATATGATTGCCTGAACTGCTGTTATACCATGGGTCGACGCCGTCAGAAGTGCTGTTGTCTCTTGAGTAGTCTTTTTTTCTTTCTTTATTTTTTTTTATTTATTTTTTTACCGCTGCTGTTGATAGGAGACAAAAAGTGCGGTTCCTGTTTCGTCCCTATAGTAAAATCCACTTCCAGCTTTGATACGACCGTTGTGTCTGCGCATCCGTAAATGTCCATTCCCAAAGCGGGTTCGTGAAACCTAGATATCTATATACTCAGACAACCCCAAGTACAAAACTCTCAAAGTTTCCAAGAAATCTACAGAAGGTCTCGCCATGCATCCGAGTCAAAATGGACGAGTACGAAGTCTTTCATCGTCTTGCTACGTACCCTTTCTCCTCTTCAACAATGGAGATGTTCCAATGCGCTCTGCGACTCATTCGAAGTCGCTACCCGATAGCCTTCTGCCGCGACGCAGAAGATACAGCCGTAGAGTTTCCACCAATGGAAGACTTCTTTAAGCAAGAAAAAATGCCACTCCATGTCACTGGCGAATGGATCAGTTACATGCAGACTGTGGCCTGTTCTGTGATTACTGCAGAACAAGGGGTCTCCCCATCGTTGTGGCGTCTTGCCCGAGACGACCACGTAGATATCGACGTAGTCACTGATTATCTCCAGCTATTGCGGTTATCTTACCCGTCTTTCCACTTTACAGACCCCGTCCCTATCGCCTCTGACACCATCGAAAACGTGACAGGGCTTCTGGGCACACCAGATGCCATAACCCTCATTCCATGCCATTACAACGGAGCCTGGTTTACCGCCATTGCCTACACAGATTGCGTGCAGCTATACGGGATGCACGTTGAAGACAGCCCAAAGATAAAACAGCTGCTACAAGTCTTGTTTCCCCGTCGTTTGATCCGTTTCTCTCAGCCACCCCTGGCGGCGCGTCTCGAGGACTCTGGGGTGTGGATGCTTTTGAGCATGCGGATGCTAGTCGCTGGAGGTTTACCGATGCAGCATGTCGACACTACATTTCTCCGGAGCTCGAGAGCACGAATTTTCATAGAGCTGCTGATGAAGAAACTTGACGTGAAGGAATCTGATGTTTCAACCCGGATTCAGGAAGCGCAAGCAGAAAACTCTCTCTTCTTCGATGAGGCCTTCATATCCGAAGACTACGTCCCCACACCGTCAGGCTCAATCTCCACACCTGACAGAGAGGAAGACTGCAATTTTACACTGGGTGGCTCTCCCGAACAATTCAGCCGATCTTCTCTATCGCCTGAGGAGCAGCCCTCGTCCAGAGAACGGTCTTCCGGCGCGGAGACGGCTGTATCGGCACAAGCCCCGCGCAGTCCATCATCGTCCCCGCAACCGCCGTCCCCGCAACCAACCGAGCCCACCCGTAAGAAGCTCGCCTCGCTGCGCAGCAGTCAGACCTCCGGAATGCCGCAAAGAATGTCCAAGCAGTGCAAAGACATCCTTGACATGTTGAGCGAGGCTGTGATTTTCTACCGAAGTTCTCGCATGTCGGAAAAATCGGAACTGCCAGTAATATGGTCTGCCATGAACAGCGGCTTCAAGAGCGAGTTTTACCGACGCTACATTTGCGTGCTATTTTACAAGCAGATGGACCGTCTTGCCAGTGATGAAAAGTTCGCTCTACAAGTAAAGACCAGGATGTCATACTCCGAACGAAGGAAAATGAACTCTTTCAAGTCGCGGTGCAAAATCTGGCATGATATCTGCGAGCTCCGCCACAACTGGGGACCCGCCAAATATGCGCTTCTTTGCGTTATGCCGGAAAAGCCAAACTTGGAACATATGAAAACCCGGGAGCGGGGGGGACAGCTCAAGCAACTAGGTGAGCGGCTCAATGATAAGTATGACGACCTATCGAGCTATGTGGAAGCGGCGACAGGTCTATGCACAGCTTTGGTCCAAGGCAGTCTCCCATGCGGTTTGATGATTGATGACTATCATTTGAGGCCGGACCAAGAGTTCATGGAGCCTGAATTTGCTGCTTATACAAGTCTCAATCCGCGGCCAGTGATCTCAATCCCAAGGTGGACCTCTGACTAGACACTACAAACAGCCATAGGCGAGCTAGATTGAATACGGCAGAATGCAGAACAAGCGGTTAACAAGGTTTTCTTTTGTAACACTTTGAAATCTATTCAGCAAGTGGTTGAAGATGAAAGTATTTAAAACAAGCCCCGGATGAAATTGAGGCTTTTGGCGAGGAGTATGCGTGGTGCATTGTAAGATCAGCACTATTCCTTTTACGCCTATTGATGGAAGCTTATAAAGCTAGCAACCTTATGGGAATTAGTCTCCGACTCAACGTGTGCCATCTCTAGCCTGCTTGAGAAGTACTATTTATATATTAAATTGCCTATTCCGCTCATCGAAGCAGACCCTTCTAGCCTAAAGCTGACTTAAGCTAAGGGTCTATTACTGTATATACTTCGAAGTTATATTTAATTGTCGAAAACTATAATATTCCTTGAGTCTTTTAGTCAAGTCAGCATCTATATCCTATTTGTCGACTTGATTCGTTAGATCAAACAACAGACATGGCAAGCTTCGTAAAGTAGAAACTACTAGCAGAACCAAGTCCAAGAACGAAAACGTCAACAGCCAACATCATTTATTTGCCTAACTAAAGACTGAACAATGATACGATATTCGTCACTAAATATCGTCACAGTGAATCAGAACTTTGGAATTCCTTTTCTGTCAGCTGCAAAAAAAAAAAAAAAAAAAAAAAAAAAAACTCCTTTACTGGGGCTTGTTCTTTGCCTCACTGGGCGCCAAATCGACGACGCTCAAACACAAGCCATGCAAGTCAATGATCAGGCGATATTGTGACTGCCACCTCCTAGCCTGGTCCCTTACCTGTTCTTTTTCGGCCTGATCTACGCTCCGCCATGCCCCGAGCGGGTTAAGCCTACTGAGCGACCTGACTTTTGAACCGCTTAGCGACGAAGTCACTTCAGCCGACCCCGCGTGCGCATCTATCTGATGGGCAAGTAGGCAGATGCGGCACACAGCATTGGTGAGCCGTTAGTGAGCTGCCAGGCTTCTTCTCAATGAAAGTTTTTAGCCTCTTCTCCAGCGGGGAGGCGTCTTCCAGCTTGTCGAGTATGCGCTTGATGTTGACCAGGCGGCCTGGGTGCGGTTGCAGAAGGGCAGCGACACAGGCGATGGTTTTCCACGTCTCTATGGGCATCATCGCCATATGAAGCTCGGGAGTGAACTGGTAGCGACCATCCTCCAAGAATTTACCTTTGACTAAACCACGGAAAACCGCCTGAGACGGCAATTATGGAGGGATAACCACGATGTGGAGACGCAAGGCCAGGAACGTGCATGTGACCAGCAATAGTTTCCTTTCGGCTTCGCGTCGAGCGTCATAAATTGCTAACGTATATGTATGTTAGATCAAACAACTAAAAGAGGGGAGACTTGAGCGACAATGTACAGTACAACCATGTTTGTCATGTATTAAGTATCAGAGCACAGTAGCGTCATACCCTATCCGCGAGGAAGTTTCAATTTGGTTCACCAATTTACCGAATGTACTAGGAACGCGTAATCTTGCTATTAACTCTCGATACCGTACCGATGCCCGAGGTTTTCCCTACTTGCTAGGGCATTAAAAATAGCTTCTTTCTTTTGAAAGCTTTGCAAAGCCTCTGCTAATCGGTGAATAGAGCCAGTACTAGATGTTAGAACCCTTGGCCCAAAGCCGCTTCGGTTGATCTTATAGGGAGTGTCTTGACGTCCCTGATGATTAATTGTGCTTTTCGATGGGTTAAATGCCGTCAGAAACAGCTGTGGCGGTGGCTTTGTGGCGGATTGCATACGCTAAACAGATGGCCAACACTATTTATGCGCCTGATTCTTATACGTCTCCGGTTGGCTTCTCTAGATCACTTAAGCAAACCGGCTAGCTGATTTCCTCACAATGATTTCCAAAATACTAACAGCCTTCCACGTCATCTCGGCGGTAGTCATACTTGCGTTGACCGTAAGGGTACTGCAAGATGAAGAAAACGAGAAGAAGGGCATAGTCCAAATTCTGGTGCGTAATCCGTCCTCAAGAAAGGCCGTGACTAACAATGAAAAAGCTGCATGAGCATGCACGCCGCTTCGTCCAGGTTCCCGATGTGGTTGGTTCTATTGCTACTGCGGTGAAGAGCGCGGCCTCCAGCGTGATCACCGTCGCGGTCGCATCTGGCGAGTCTTTAGTGGCCGCGAGCCTGCCTTCGAGCGTGTCAGTAGGAACGAAGTACGCATGTGTGGCTTCCCAATGCGCCGCCATCCCTGGCTCTGCTTTTCGTCTGGTCCAAGACCTTGCCTCATTTCTCCCTTCGCCCCAGGAAATCGAAAGGTTGCAAGAGCTGGTGGAAAAATGTCCGAACATGGAAACCGTTCTGTCCGCCGGGCTCGGTTTGGCGTTAACTTCGACTATATTCTTGCTTGCCGGTCTCAAGTTTAGGCTTCTCAGCTTTGTTTCATTCGGATTGAATGTCGTTTGTGCTGTCCTCTTTGCAGTAGTGACGTTCTTTTCGGTTTCGCTGCATAAATCGTCTCAAGCTGTTGCGGACTTGCTGGACGTCGAAGTGCGCAAAGGGGATGTTTTTGGGGCATCTGTTGGCGATTTAACAGCAAGTTTGATTATGTGCGCGCTGGCCCTCTGTCAGATCATTGTCAATTAGAAAGGGGATCGATGGTTGGAAACGTTCTTATGGGCGAATACGGGCTTTTTTCTGTCATCAATTCCGTCACTGACGACGGTAGTACTGTAGTAGAAAGCCTGGAGACGAGATTCACAAATATCCTCATAGTCAGGCCCAAGACTTATAGCGGATTGATTATCCAACTCACAGACTGATGCTTTAATAATAATGTCACAAGAAGACACCCATGCGCCAAAGTACTGAACTTTTCCTACATCTAACATCGTTTTGGGTCGTTAAGCCCATAATGGCTTTTGCGAAAGTAAACCAAGCGACTAGTACATCTAAATTTATTTAAGCTGTGTATGAGACAAGCATAGTGCCGAGGATAGCGCTTCGTCCACGTCTCGAAAGGCAATATTTTGTCAACCCGCCTTCCTGCTACTTTCTTTCAAACGTCGCCACACCATCCTTCGCTTCTCTTCATACAATTTGATTTGCATATCATGGAAATTCATGGTGTTGTGTCACTCAGGCTCACGATCGTATTCACTTCAGGAGTGGAAAGCGCGGACAGCCAGAAGTTTGATAAACTGAAACATTATGTGTCCCGTTACTCAGACATCCGCCCATCAGATATCAACAACGACTCTCCTGTGGTGGTCAGTCAACAGACTTTAGAGACGACGTTAGCTTGCCTTGGCATATCAGCCGATCGGGTGCGCTCCGGAAGCTATTCGAGTGGCAAGTTTGCGACTCTCGTAGGCTGCCAAGTGGCGGGCTCGACCGATCAACACCACAGCAGCAAGAGAAGTATCATCGACACGTCAAAGTGGACAACCGCAGCGGATGAATTACAACCCGTTATTGATCGCATCAAATCCAGCATTCAGAGGCTCAACCATCAATGGCAGATATTGGACGACGCACAAAAGCGACTCAAAAGGTTGGCCGCCTCGACTCTAGATGAGGTAGACTGGGACGATCCGGTCATCCGGATACAATCAGAACTGGATCTATTTGATTCCGAGGAGGCGGACCCATGACCAGCGAAGAACCTTGGTTAATGACCACTGGCTTTGGGCTATTCGGGCCTCCCTAAATGTATTTACTAGTACCGAGACCATCCTCATAAACTTTACTTCCTGAATGCTTACATACATCTATCTTTGCCACCGTTATTTGTGGATCAATAAAGCTCCTGATCATTCGATGTGATCCACGTAGATGTCATCTTTGTTCCCTGACAAAGGACCCGTTGCTTTCAGTGGTGGCGCTGCTCGCCGAAGCCAGGATGCGAAAATGACAAACTGCTTTCTTCATCTGTGGGAGAAGAGGCGTATTCGTCTGTTGGCTCAAGTCTGACTATGGCAGACTCGCACTCGTCTGTGTATTTAGGGGATCCTGTCAGGGAAGGCAAGCTTAGGAGTACTTGGGCACGCCTGTGGGAGTTCTTCAGCGCTTGTCGAAGGAGACTGTTTGCCCCCTCTTTGCGTCTGGTGCCAACTGAATGAATAGGAGCTGATGGCATTGTCTAACAAAATAAGACGTTTGGGCAGTGACCGCTTAAGGATTTCTGGACTGCCACCAGCGCCCCCCTTAAGAACTTTTACCAGGGGTTAGACATGAGCAACTCGGATTGCCATGATGTGAATACAGTGCCATGTGAAGCCAAAAGGGATAAGGCACTTCTTTTAAAGGGAGCCAGGAATGGCTCTGATTGTACACGTGGCGGTTGGGAAGCAATCCATTACGTCCAAGGACTTACAGTTGAATCCGACATCGGTTTCCGGCATTACTCTCCTAGCGCTTCCAACCAGGATACAATAATGAACCTGTTTGCTGACACGGTACCTGCGGACATCTCCACAATGCTTTCCAGAGAGCAAGAGATACCGACAGTGGCAGCTATTATGGGCACTTCACCCATTTTTTGCAGAATCAAGAGCTTGCTGTGGGTTACACACAGGAGTATTAACATTTTTCTAACAGGTATTTTGCATGGGGTTTTCTGTACCTTCTCAGCAAATAGACACCAAAATGCCCAAGAAAAAGAAGTTTCTTATGTGTAAAGCATGAAACCAGATTTGAACGCGACTGTACCTCTCACAAGCGTTGCCAGCAATGAGGTCACCATCATCAGCAAGCGGATCGAAATCGAGCCTCGATCCACGAGCCACAAAGTAAGCCAACAGCCAATTCTAACTAAGGCCATAACGAGACGATTGAATCTTGGCAACGTGGGTTCTTGAGTAGTAAATCACTAAGTCAGATCCGTCCCTAGGAGGTTTGATTCCAGCATCTTTATGTGCAGACACTTTCGCCTTTGCTACTTAGAAGACCCACTATACAGCAGATTTAGGTACCCCAAATACGATCAAGTAGCTCTAAGAACCTATCCCAGACCATGTTCGCAAGGTTTATTGTTTAGACATTCAAGCCCGTCAATCAGCCGGCTGGTAATCAAGCTCCCGAAGGCAGAGGTTGCTCTCGAGATATCCGCGAATGGCTCGTTCCCTCCGGTACGTGTTATAAAGCGGGTGACTTTCCTTGATAACGAAACCCCCTGCGAGGTCGCAAAGTGCGTCTCGCGTTTCATTTGCAGTGGACACTATAGTACCAATTAGCAGGATACGCAGCTGCAAGAACAGGCCCTACCAAGAATTAGCATGTCTCCTATCTCCCCAACTGCTTCTGGCGGTGTGACGTCGAAGAGGCGTGATGCCTCACTCCACAAGCTCGATGCGAGGTCTGGGCTGCCCACATAGAGCCGCGCCCTCGTGCCGAAGTCCTTCACCCGAGCCGGTTTGCCATGTAAACGACTTGTGCCGCCGTAAATATGCTTCGTGACAAGCTTTTCGACATCAGACGCGTTCAAGAGGTGCGTCGAAGCGTTTTTAGTTATCAAATCGTCGCTAAGGCAACCCGGAATGAGCATTTTGAGATCTTCCACGGTCATCCCATTTGCCTGCATCTCGTAATAAATCGAAATCTCGAGGATCTACCCGCAAAGCGTCGAGGAAAGAAGTTAGCTAAGTTCTGAGAATTAGACACGTGTGCATATACATAGCCATCGTCCAATGTGTCGTCGTTGAGTATAGGGTTCAGGATTGATTCCGCCGCATGTACGATGCCTATCGTAATAGTTAGTCAATTGCCACGGTGAATATTCAGCTTATTGGTACAACCCACCAAGATTGGTCACCTGCCAGATGAGGTGTATCTGTCGCGTGCGCCCTCTGCAGTGGTTGTATCCGTAAACAAGCTTCTTCAAGTATGGCGCCTGGGCTGCGATCCCGTGGTCAGTAGCCACCATGAATACTGCCTCATAGTCCCACACTGGTATGCTGACTCCGTGTGGCCCAGAGAAAAGGGCCAGTCGAGGCACGACGTGTTCGTGGGAGTACCGAACCAGGCTGGAAGTGAATCCTCGTCGGGGCTTGATGAAGAGGTCGACAATGCCTTGTTCCGCTTCCGCCCACGAAGTCACGACGAAGGGGTGGCACTCAAACAGCCGGACTCTCGGCATCCACAACAACAGGTACTGGCCCGCTTCGAACTTGAGTGGTCGGGACAGCCTGATGGAGATTCGCACGGTTCCAGTAACGTGGTCTATGTAGGCTCGTCCAAACGTTTGCCCCATAGCCTTGTTACGAAATGCCACCAAGCAGCCTTGTATCATAGTGGCCAAAGCAGTCACGCCAAGGTAGATATACACCCACTGCCAAGATCGGCCAGCAATCGATAGCAGATGCAGTGCAATCCCCACTGCCGCCAGAGAAGCGAGTGCCTGGTGGGTTCTGAGACAAAGCTCGTAGATACGGCGACGGAAAAAGGGTAAGAAGGAAATCGTCGCCGCTGCGACCATTGCGATGGAACCCTACAAGACGAAAAAAAAAAGAAAACACATTAGATTCGATAAGTCTAAACGCCGGCGAAAACAATAATAAGAACACGGATTACAATTAGCATGAGAAGCTCGTTAACACGATCCGGTACCTGGACCTGGTATTGGTTGTTTTGCATAGCACTGACGATATGAGCCGCTAGAAGCATCGCTGCTACGCGACCCTGCCACCTGTGCATTGCCGCGTAATGCCGAAAAGGTATAGCCAGTATGTCTGCCGTGAGGTCCAAGCAGGGACTGGCAAAGAGAGGGAGTGTATTGAGTAAAGCCAGGTTCCCCGAGCGGGAGAGAAACGTAGACGGTCGGAATGCCAGGCAAAACGCGTTTACGCCTATGTACACTGTTGGAAGTAGCAAGGACACGACATTCCAAGGACCGAATAAAGCATGACGATGAACCAGGAGTCGATAGAGCAAATGCTTCTCAAGCAGATGCGCGAGTCGTCTTCGTACTTTGCTCGTGCGGGACAAGAAGTTCACAAAAGCAAGACCTACAATCATGCCTGCAAGGCAGATTGCGTACAAGGTAATGACCCAATCCATGACGAGGCTGTAATCAGGGTAGGAAGGGGGCTTATAAAACGTTTGCACACAAACTGCATCAAGAGCAAGGCTAGAGGCACGTAATATTGAACGAGGAGAAGTCAGTAGGCTTCCTACAAGGTACAGCAATGCCGTAGAAGTCTAGATGAAAAGAAGACATAGGGTTATCTGTTACAGAGCCAGAAGTGGCTGGTAGAAGCTCGATTTGGCGCCAGCGTTGCCTAGAGTTGGCACTGATATTTCCTCGAAAAGACTGACGCACGTGCCAAGCTGAGCAGGCCGAGAAGACAGTCGGTATCCCGATGTCTCATGAGCAGATGCTGTAAGTAGCCGTGAAAAACGTGGCTACGTGGAGATGAGACCAACATTTTTCACTTCCTTGATTGACGACGCCGCATCGACATCGATCAGAAATATAAACCCGTCCGAGTTGGCATACCAGCGGCCCATGTCATCGATACATAGCGGCTTCTGTTTAGTCTTCTTAAACATGAGAAACTGACCGGTGCAGCTCACGGCCTCGACGTGGTGGCGGTTGTGACCCTTAAGCGGCTGGCAAAGCTCTTGGCCGGCTTCTCCATATTAGAATGCGGATCAATAGGTTCATACTATGATATCCGAATTCCCCCGCTTTCAGCTCCTAGAGATGTACTTGCAAATCTTTACTAATCCTGCATCGGTCACCAATATGTTATTGCCATCGAGCCAGGGATGCTCAAATCCTTGGGCTTCTAAATAAATAAGACTAATTAAGGACCTAAGACGAAACATAAATTCACTCTTGATCCTTAAATGGTTGCTCTTTTCGTCGTTTACCTGCATGTATGTGTAGATAAACACAACAATATTCTGGTGATGATTCTTTCACCTTGAGATCCACTTTTTTGATGCGGACTAGCTTTCCCTGTCTCACTGCTACTGTCAGGCTGCCCCCGACATCATGTAGCTTGAATTACTCCTGGTAGTGTTCCCAAGGTGAGTTCCATTCGACGTCGGTCGTACTAGTCGAAAAACGGTTCCTCAGAGAGCGAATGAGAATCTACGCCGAGTCTGTAAACGTGATATAATCTGTTGTCTTCTCTTGGTGTGATGCGATGTGCGAGTCATCGTCCGTTGCTGGCGTATCAGCCACAGCATACAGTCTATGATCTGATGTAGTAGCATCACCAAGGCTATAGTGAGCTGGAAAAATGGCTATCTGCGTCTTTCGCTTGGCTTTCATGATGTTTGTCCGAATGTCTCATCTTGCTCATGTGTTGATTTAACGGTCGTTCGATGGCGTATAAGTAAGCTGCCTTAAAGTAGATTCCGGCGGATGCGTAAGGCAAGCGGTTACCATAGCGAACGAAGAGTTTTGTCTCAGTCTTACGAAAACTGTTTTCTACCTAGCCTTCTCTACCCGAGCGATAGAGAGTGGCTCAGTCATGGTATCTGCATGGAGGGACAAGCGAGCTGCTACCTTGGTAGTTCGGTTGACCTTGGCAGGCGGATGAAGCATAGCCACAGTTACCTACACAGTCCTCGATCGCGTGGCGGGCAGTGAAAGGGTGGAATCCATACTACTGATTTTTTTTAGGGCAAATTACAGGAAGTAAAACAAGCTACATTGTCAAGAACGGAAGCGTGATCAGATGTAGTATTTGAAGCGGCGATGCGCATTCAAGTTACTCTATGGGTCAAAAAGCCCAGCACGCAAATCCTTTTGACGCACTAACCCCAAAGCCCACAAACTATGAACCTGAAGCTCGAATCGAGTACAGAAGTAAGTAAAGGAAAAAAAATCCTTGAAGAATACCCCTTCGATCTATCATTCCATCTTGCGACGCAGGCCGTCCAGCAGATATTGATACACCACGCATAAAACGCACGAGACCACAAGCCACCAGCCCGTCACCGTCGTCGTAGCTATGGATGTTCCCGACCACTGACCTCCGTGAACCGTGTAGATGTTCAGAATGGTGGACAAAAGTCCAATCAGCGAGTTCACTAAGGTAGGACTACGTTTTGTAAGCAATGGTACTTACGGAACCAGCTCAGACAGAGACTCTTACACAATGATATGCTGATGCACCCAGACGTAGTTTGTGCGCCATTTGAACCATAACCATGCCAGACCGATGGATGCCGCACCCGAAAGTATAGACGCAAGGGCAATCAGACAGTCGTTGACCCAGTATGAGACTGTCTGTCCAACCCTACCCATGCTCTCAAGAACTTGCGATCGCCTCAGTGACGCGAACGTGGAGGGAAATACGATGTAGCCGGCCAGCAACAGCCACGAAAAGATTTTCGCTAGGAGGGACCACCACCAGTCGATCTCTTTGTCGTTTTCCAGCACCATCGCGTCGTATCTAGAGACCGCATAGGGTTTGACCTGATCATCTATGTCGTACCTTGGGGGAGGGGTGTCGTCATCCTTCATTTTCTTCAGCTATATAGTACGTATGTATAATACAGTACATTCAACACCCTGAGAGAATTAAGAAACGAAAAAATAGCATTACTGTATAGTTCAGTGGCAAATAGAATGATCAAAGACCCAAAAAGGAGCAAAAGTCGGCTCAAAAGCGAAACACCGAAAACTTTTACACCGTTCAGAAGGATACAAGGAGCATGCCAGGAGCATAAAGAGGCCTTAGTCTACTAACTGCCTGCCTTAGCACGGCTGAAATATCTGTCTGTCTGCTATGTAGGATTGGCCAGGATCTTCGATGCCCGCATATCCATTTTATGGAGTCGTCTATAGCTACGCCTAGGATAATGTAACATGTATCGAGATGACGCATTCTTGCGCGCAGCAGACATGGCTATTCAGGCGGTTTGCAGTACTTTAATAGTCTAGAATGCGGTGCAATTCGCCAGATAACTCCTTCTTTCATGCTCTAATTCCGATCTCGTTATCTTGAGCAAGTCACGTAGCTGATCGGCCAACTCGACAAGGTCCCGAACAAGGCTAAGTAGGGTTCTCCACAACCGACGCGTCGCCATAAGCTCGCTATAAAGAGTCTTGTTCTCCTGAAGTAGGAGGGGTATGACCGTGTCATACTGTTCATCAGTCTGCCTCGTGAGTCTCAGCAACAGGTCATCTAGGTCGAAGGTGTCAGAATAAACGCTTGACGTGGGACGAGGTTCCATCTTTGATGCATCAATTTTCTGGTTATGGTCCGTTTAAGTACTTTGGGGAGATCTATTTCTGGCTTAACTGCCAGCTTTAAGTAAGGCCACTTGCCCTCCGAACGACAGTCCATCATAGCCTTTGCCCATGCAATCACGCATACCTAATTGACAGTTGTTGTGCATGCAGAACACCAACCAATGCATCGTGCTGCGAGAGTCTCTTGCCAGTCTTGCCAGCCATGGCTGCGGTCTGGTGTTGACGTTGTCGTCGACCATTACCAAGCAGTTATTTCCACCCCACTAACGAGTACACCAACAGACGTCGACCGACTCGAGCAATTCTGTCGGAACCCCCTTCCCCTACGTCTTGTTCATACCACGGTCGAGCGCTTCCTTGCAAGGACGGTGCCCGTCAACACTGATATATGGGATTTCCCCTCAGGTTTAGAAGCCTTTGTGCGGCATCTACTGTTATGGGCCGACATAAGCGGAGCTGTTTTCTGCGTTGGTCTAATCTACCTAGAGCGGGCTGCTGCGCGCGGGCGACAAGAGACTCCGCTGACTGAGATGGGACGGCGTCTTCGGGTCCTGGCGGCAATCATCCTTGCTCGGAAGCATCTTGAAGACGACACATACGATACGCGGTTTTGGGTTGGCGTGACGGCTGGGACTTGTTCGTCTTATTTTACAAACGATGATATTAATGATGCTGAGGCAAGGCTTCTGAATGATATCATTTGGGATCTGAGTATAGACATTCAGGAAATGTACGTAAAGATCAAACTGATCTGCGACCCAGACACCATTTCGATTTCAGGTTATAGGCGACTTTAAGAACAGCTGAAAGAGTTACCGTCTTTCAATTTTACTAAGCCCAAACTACGCGTCAAGTATTATTACATATATTCACACTAACCTTACTATTATAATTTCAAGAGTATAAATGATTTAGTACATGTGAACAAAGAGGGGGATTATACTAATGTACGATCTAAATTGATTCAACGGCGGAAAACCTAACTTCTACTTATTTACCGCTCGAAACGATCTCCAAAGAATTACCCTGCCTAGATTGTCACTTTAGCATTCATTACAAAAGGGCGTTCGAGAATCAGGTCCTTTTTAAAGTAGGCAGGCCCTAACAAGTTCTTTAGTAACTATGTATGCTCTATAAGGGTGACCGTAATGAACAACGGCAACGAGAGTGGATCTGTTATCAGTACAACGTGGTGGAAGATACAGCCAACGGGAGGCCGTCTAGATTTGTGTGGCGCACGGGAGTAGGTACATCCAGTCACGCCGGTAAGTCATGTAATTTTGTCAATCGCTCTCGATCTGCCTTCTCCCCATTCCTTTCACGATGTCGGTAAACAAGAACGCTTATCCTCCCTTCCTCGTAAATCAACGAGGAATAACAGGACTTATAAGTATTCCACACAACACGCCTATACAAGTACTTCCTGCGGAAATCTTAGTCATGATCCTGGAACTTGTTGGAGACCTCAACTCCGTCGCCAGTGCTATCGAAGCCTTCGAACCTTTTAATAAGGTATTCAAGGAAAATAGTGGCGTCATTTGTAGAGTAATCTTCACTAGTATATACGCTAGGGTGCGCGGCTGTAAGGTTGGGGCCTTGTTTAAACAATTGGAGTTTGCGATTCGCGGCTTCTTCATACCGAGAGCTCTTGTGGAAAAGGCCTTTACTGTTTTGTGGTCGGTTTTCGCTACTTGGCAATTGGAAGAAATGCTTCTCCCACTAGCCAGGGCTTTAGCCTGGACATACTGTATCGAAAAAAACGAGAAGGCAGCAGTTACCTTTCTCAGGAAGATATGGAACAGCGCGCAGCCGTTCGAGTGGCCGATACGCAATGTGATTGCAACATCGGCTTCTGAGCGACTACCAAGCTATACTACAATAGGGGAATTACTGATGGACCTGCTTTGTAAGGACGACCCGGAGCAAGACCAGATACGAAGAGAACTTGAGCAGATGGCCGGCCGCAGCCGCGATATGATTGTTTTCGGCATTCGCTTCGAGAAGAGAAAACCCGTTTTGACAGAAGTTGGTTCGGGTATCAATGGGACCCATGTCGGCATCAGAGGCAATTCTCCAGTTAAAGGCAACTCGGGAGGTAGCGTTGGTGTTGATCTAATGTCTGACCTAAACGCCTACAAGACTTCGACCCAATTGATTCCGACAGCGATATTTACATAGGTTTTACCGAGGGTTACGTTAACGGCCCTGTATCTGACCTGGACGCCCCTTCCGAAGATGTTGGTCTAAATAATGGGGACAACGACGTTCAAAGACGGTCGCAGTGATCAACTGCCTGGCACCTTCTTTCTAGTCTCAGCTACTTTCCACATAATCGAGAAAAAAGTGGACCGATTTGTGATTCGCGACGTACCGAGAGCCCGTTGAAGTCGATGGCATACGCGTCGCCGAAAGACCTCTCAGCCCTGAAGGATCGAATTCAGACGATGGCATGAAATCTAGGGTCCAAAAGGTGCTCCCGCCGGATGCCGCAAGACAGCAGCGATCTCCCCGCATGGGTACTGCGAAAACCCCTCGGAAGTCGCGCTAGGTCAGGGGTCAGTTCCCTGCATCCTGGTCCTGCTAGTTTCTTGCTCTTCCCCAACCCCTCCAACGAGTCCACCAGCCCTGGCACCCTAGTCACCCCATCAATTCTTCCCCTGGTCTGGACCTGGTCAATCCACCACGTAGTAGAGCAAAATGCGGCCATTTGCTCATTTTGTAACACCAAATTTGATACTTTACCACATAGTAGTACGTCCCGCCCCGCCGCAGCGCCTGGATCTGCTTTCGACTAGGATGCAATAGTGTTTGCTTGCCCAAGCTGCCAAGGATTGATGGTTTAGTGACGTCAGTTTACAAGGGGCCAAATCACCGTTCCCACGTCGAAGCCTTGGGGGCGGATGGGGAAAGAGGGATGGGAGAGTATAAGTAGAGACATCTTGTCCGGTTTGAGTTAAGAAATTTCTCTTAGTGGGCTGGGCCTCCTGCCCCTATTTCCTTTGTTTCCCGCTGATGCCATTCCAGCGATGCCGTTGATCCTTTTTCAGCGATGCCACTAAGTGATGCCGCCGAGACGTGACTCCTCGAGCGATGCCGCCGCAACGGTTCTGCAATGTTTCTTTTGTTTTCCGCTGATTCTTACCAGCGATGCCACTGAGTGATGCCGCCGAGACGTGACTCCTCGAGCGATGCCGCCGCAACGGTTCTGCAATGTTTCTTTTGTTTTCCGCTGATGCTTTTCCAGCGATGCCGTTGACGCTTTTCCAACGATGCCTAGTGATGATCTTCCGTTGATTTACGCTGATGCTACTTTATTCCAGCGACGCCGCTGATGTTATTCCAGCGATGCCGCAAAGCGATGTTATCGCAAAGGGTCTGCATGGTTTTTTGCTTTCCTTTGATGCTATTCCGGCGATCCACTATGTGATTGGGCGGCGAAAATCGGACTCTGCAACCTCCCCGTGGTGCCGCCTGGGAACCTATCTTTGAAAAGGTAGAGCCAGTGCAGAGACGTGACGGTGAAGCAAAGACTTAATGTTAGACTTGAGAACCCTCCTTTATGTTTCTAACGGGACAGAAGATCTTGAGGATCTACTTCTACCTAGCCAGCTAGTAATAAGGTGTATCTCAGGGCAATTTCTTGCGTTGCCATCAGTATAGAAGCTTCATCTGGCCTCTAAGGCTTCATAAGCAATTGAAACAAGCCAGGACACAATGGCTCCAGATTTGTCCTTATTGAGCTTTTGCTTGTGGCGCAGTTGGTTGCCCGACCGCTCGTGACAGATCCATGACAAGGAATGTTCGACACATCGGATTACTGGTTTTGAGTGGGCTTGCATGGCTCTTGCTATACTTACAGCATTTACCTTCGTAAACGAAACACTCAAGGAGCAGTCCATAATAGAGTCAGAATCTTCTGCTTAACATCGGGAATCTACTCCTCGTACACCTATACATTTAGCACATGCGAAAAATATGCTGACACTTTTAATATCCAAAAATGCCTCCGGTTTTTTAGAGCCCGTATTTGAGCCACTTTTGGCCTAACTAGTCTTTGAATAGTTATATTGGTTTGTAAATACTATTGTCGTGGGCGTCGCGATGTGCTGTGCTCATTAGGCTGCCGCTGCTCATGCATTCTACAAAGTATTGTTTATGACACCTTCTCCTCTAAGATGTTCGATTCTTAGAACACAAATTGATCAATGCTTTAAATTCCCGCCTGAACTAATTGTTCTCAACCCGTAGGGCACCCTCCCTCTTCGTCTATAATCGAAACAATGGGAAATAAAAGTCGAGGAACATCCGTAAGGTTGCCACGTTCGCTTCTAGCACCCGAGGCCGACGTATTGAAGAATGGCCCCACTATGTGGCCAAACGAGATTCTAACTGTACTGTTGTCTCACCTCAGCACCGGCGACGTACTGGGGGTTGCCATGACAAGCCGAAGCCTGCATCAGCTTTCTATTTGGTATCTCTACCGCTTTCGCTTCTGCGACCAGGGCGTCAGCTGGATCTACCGATACCTTTGGCTAGGAGACCCCTTTCGATCCGAGAGACTCGATTCACGAAAGATCGATCGTTCCTTGGGGCTTCTTCAGAAGGTCATCGCATATCACCCTGCGCCACGGTACACGCCAATAGAGTTTGAAACGGAAGCTCTGCCTCGGCTGCCTTTATTTGTAAACCGCCAGCTGCAATGGTCCGGGCAAGTTGAAGTCACATTGCTTCACCTTGCCGCCTACGCTGGCCTCGACTCTCTAGTTGCACTTCTCCTTGACAGCAACGTTAATATCAACACTAGTATCCGACGCTATAGAGCAACAGTCCCGTGGCTAACGCCTCTGTTCCTCGCCGTAGCAAGCGGAAACATACCGACGGCCACACTACTTCTCCAGAGAGGAGCCGATATAGGGGATTGTTTGCACATGGCTTGCGTTTTAGGGTTGCCGGCTATGGTTCGACTAATCCTGAGGATGCGTCCGGGTATAGTAAACCTACAGTCACGCACAGAAGGTTTTACTCCTCTTACGTATGCTGTCAAATTCTGCGCCAAAGACCCAGTCCAGGTTGTTTGTTATCTTTTGGACAAGGGAGCCAATCCAGACGCTAAGCCAACCTGGATGGATCCTATGTTCGATTCGGCCGTTAGCAGAGGTTTCTTCGGTACAGCTTTCCGCCTGTTGCAGTCAGTAGGGGCTTCCCACGACATGATGCTTGCAATTGACAGAGCTCCAACACCAATCGGTCCAGGTGAGGCTGAAGCTTTCGTGGCTATAGTTAACAACATTACGAAAAGTATTAACTTTTGTAAGAACGTTAGAACTGTACTAGTAGATTAGCGTTCTAGTGTACTCCTAATCAGAAACACCATTAGGAAGGAAGTACTCCATCAATAGGAGCATACTTGGTCCATTTGTGTCTATTGAATAGCTTTGCTACGCTAGTAGTGACGAAACGCTGGAGGAACAATCCCTTACAAAGTTAGAAACTGCCTTTTACCCTACTAGCCTATGGTTATGGCATCTCAACTGAGAATGGTACTACTAATAACAAACAGTATTCATTGTCTTTCGCGACGAAGATAACGAGAAGAAGGGAATAGTGCGGATTTTAGTAAGTGAAGTTCTAAAGCAAGAGGCAACAAACCGCCTGGTTCTCATAGAAGACAGTTGCGCAGCGAAGGAAAGCACCCTGTTCCCATCCCAGGTATCGTTGCCTCCGTAGGTCCTATTGCAGACGCTGTCAAAAGTGCAGCTTCAGGCTCAGCGACGTATGTTATCGCGGCAGGCGAGCGTTGAATGCTCTTATAAGTTCTAGTTAGTAGAAGATCCACCAATAATCGAGGTATGACTGGTTTTCCTTGAAGAGGACTTTAGGAGCTTTACTGAAAAATAGTTTTCGGGTTAGTGGCATTGAATATCATCTCTAGTTCGTCATACATAGTGTGGCGAGTTCCAGAAATCGGTTGAAATGGCATTAATTTTCAAGTACCTCCCTTAGAAATTGCTGAGTCCAGAACCAGATATCCACCGTACTATATGGAGTACCGCAATATAAGCGAAGGTCATGGCTGGACCAAGTGTGACTCCCGCGCCGAGTGATGTTGCACCCATCACCGATGCAGACGCATTACCTGCTGCGTACAGCCCCTCGATTGCAATCCCGTTCTTATCGACGACGCGCGCATGTTCGTCTGTTAACAATCCGCCTTTGGTACCGGCGTCGCCAGGTCTTACAGCGATAGCATAATATGGAGCTTTATCGATGGGACCCATGTTTGGGAACTTTGCTCGCCGGTCACCTACGAACAAGTGATACCTGCTCTGGCCCTTGTGGAACTCCTCATCGACACCCTGCTTGCACATCTGATTCCATTTCTCAACCGTGGCCATGAGCCCTTCCGCACTCACTCTGATCTGTCTCGCCAGGTCTGATAAAGTGTCGGCTTTATATATATATTCCTTTTCTTGGGCTTCTACAGGATCCGCCCAAGGGCTAAGCGATCCTAGCGTGTATCTCTTACGATGGTTCCAGTCGAGAATGAGCCAGGCACACCCACCCCCACAGCATCGGTTGTAGATTGAGCGACCACTGTCCCCGTACGGATCAGCCTCCGAGAAAATCCGAGATCCCTTGTCGTCGACAACAATGCAGTGAGGCTTGCACAGCTCAAATAAGGCTGTCGTAAGCTTGCCGCTTCCTGGGTCGATCATCGTGGGAATCCACCAAGCTTCGCCCAGCAGCGAAGTGGCGGCCTGGGCTTTTTCTCCAGCTATAAGCGCCACGCCCGTATCGCCGTCAGGCTGCGTTAAAGACCATTCGGTACCCGTGTGAGGCAAATGCTCCTTCCGCAAACCCTCGGACCGGGCGAAGCCACCAGTGGCGAGAAGAACCGCGCGAGCCCGAACCTGGGTCTGTTCGTGATCTCCTAACTGCACGATAGCACCATGCACGGCTTCATCTTCGACGATAAGTTCTTTCAAGGTAGCGTTGAGCTTTAACGTGAAGTTGCCTTTCTCATTCCGGAGGCAGATCCCCAGGAGTTGTGCGATGAGGGAGCAGCCCATGGATGTTGGCTTACCCATCATTTTCTTCCGAACCCATCCCCGGAATCGCATCCAGTAGGCTTGAAAGAAGTCAACAATCGATGCGTAAGGTTGCGTGAGGACGCAGAAGTCGTGAAAGTATGTCACTGGCGCAGAATGCCCGGCTTCGCGTAAGTGATGAGCCCATCTCTTCAGTGTCGCAGCATCAAAAGGACTCGGGTCCAGCGTACGCCCGCCCATAACCATAGCGCCCTTCATCTCTGGGTGATAATCGGGGATAGGGGAGGGTTCCCATCTGAAACCTGAGCTGCGGAGAAGATCTACCATCCGAGGACCATGGTCGAGGAAAGCCTTGATGCGTTTAGAGCCGGACTCTGGCCCAGCGCCTCCGTTCGCAGTTAGAGCTTCCTCTAGATATCGAGCAGCGTCTTCGCGATCGTCATCGATGCCGGCTTCTTTGGAGATATCATTTTCGGGGATCCATATCGTGCCTCCGGAGTAGGAGGTCGTGCCCCCGATCTTGTCGGTTTGCTCAATGAGCATGGTGTTCAACCCAGAGATTGTGGCGGTAGCAGCTGCTGCTAAGCCGGCTGCGCCGCTTCCGACAATGAGAATGTCTACTGTGTGATTGTTTTGACGATCCATGTTTCCGCTGCACACTTGCTAAGGTGTACCTGAAGGATATACACTGCTATTGGATGGACAGCGTGCAAGTTTATATGCAGCAAGTTTCAAATCAATTTTTGAGAATAAAAATAAAAAGCGATGCTATGTAATTCAAGTACTGTACTGTAGACATGCTGTAAGAGAGTAAGCTATTTCACAAAGTCGACCATGCGTTTGCATAATTCTACTAACTGTGGACCTTTGATTGTGGAACATGGGTCCGAACTTCGACAATACTGAAAAAGCCAGTTCTAGCTCCCTGCTCCTAGACAATCAACAGTGTACTACGAAGATCCCGTTATGTTTCCTTGTCAGCAAACGGATCCACACGTATCTGTGAGCAGAAGCTTTTTCACACACGAGGACATGTAGACCGACTTCGAACTCCTCGGTGGACCACGGAATACTGTTCGCGGCTTCAATTTGAGAGAGCCTGTTTTGGCTTGCTATAGAGTGTTCTGTTATGGAGTTCTAGCTCTTTGCGGCTTGAATATGCTGCTGATTGCGGCTCACTCTCTTGGACACACACCAGTATTCAGGGTCAGTGCTGAAGCCTGTCCCCAAACGTGGTCGTCACCGCTAACTTAGCCACCCCATAGGCCATGTTAAGTGGGGCGGGCCTATTACAGTGTCATCATACTTAATCAGTGTTTTGGTCTTGGAAAAGAATAGAATGATCCGTTCGGATCACGGCTTATTACTCTAGTAAGATGCATACCTTTAAAGCGACGAACCTGTACCAAAAAGAAGAAGCAGTAGCTTTGCCACAGTCGGTTAAGCACTGCCACATGCTCCGACAACTAGCGACAAACCTGCTTGGTGCCGTTGCGGAGTACACGCTCCGTGGTAACATGAGTCGAGCGCAAGAGGCTTCTTTGCAGTCTAGAATTGTCAACATCGCGGGAGATGTATGCAGCATTGTAACGCCACCGGAAGACCAATGGCAGGTGAATAATATTCAAAGCCATAAAATGGCCGCTATCAACCTTTTCTTTAGCTGGCACGTCTTCGAACACATCCCATTGCGCCAGTCCATTTCCTATGTCCAGTTAAGTGACCTGGTCAGCGTTGATCATCCTCTTCTAGGTAAGTGCTGCCACATGACGCTATTTATGTGTTTGAAATTGACTATAGTAGTTCGAGTTGCACGCATGCTGGTCTCCACTGGTGTTCTGGAAGAGGACGGACCCGACCGGGTCGCGCACACTGCGAGCTCTAGGATCTTTCTTCCCGAAAACCCTTACGGAAACCTAAACCAAGTTGTGTAAGAGTCAGCCTGAGTAGTAGTGCTAGATTCGATGGCTAATTGCTCATTAGGCTGGATTATGGATTGTCCCAGTGTCACGCCGTTGAGTACTTCCAAAGCAATGGACGGACAGAACCGGACGGCATCGGGCCTAGTCCTTTTACTTTTACAAAGGGCATGCCTGATAACAACCTATGGAACATCTATGAGGACCAGACGAAGGCAGATGTCTTTATGCGAGCAATGAAAGCACTAGATCGCTTTGCGCCTATTACCGGTGCTGGTCTATATAGCTTTGCGTGGATCGCCGAGGCATCTGGTACGGAAGACAGCGATAGGCCGTTGCTGGTTGACGTTGGCGGTGGCGGAGGCCACGCTATTGAGGCAATCTGTCAAACCACAGGTCTGTCATTGAAACGTTGTATATTGCAGGACAAAGAACCTGTAATTGCCAAACTGAAGAGTACGGATAACCTGTCCGGCTTGCAGCTCATGTCTATCGACATGCACAAGGAGCAGCCAGTGAAAGGTGAGATATCGTGCTTTAACCCAGGTACGAAGCCCTTGTGTCTGCTAACCTGCGAGCAGGCGCATTCGTATATTACATCCGTCATTGCCTTCACGATTATAACAACGATGTAGCCCGCGTCATTCTTCAGAATATTTCCCACGCAATGGCGGACGATAGCAAGTTGCTTATTTCCGAGCAGGTGATTGACTGGCCTCCAAGGCCGGAATCTACTGCTATGGATATGCTTATGCTGGCTGTGGGTGGTAAAGAGCGGACCGAGCTGGAATGGAGATTCCTTTTGCAAAGTGCAGGGCTGTTGCTGGAGCAGATTCACAAGGCTTCTAGCTCGCTACATTGTGTCATTGAGTGTAGGAAAGCACTTAATACGTCGAATGATCAGCATTAATCAGCTGAAAGCTTAGATCAGGTTATACATAGAAGCATTATGGCAGGTGCTATAGTGTAATAGAAGTCGAAAGCAGCCCACTGAGGTAGAAGAACAACACTAATAATCCGACTAAGGAGAGCAATATCAAGGTTGAACCTGCTTACAGATGGATGCAGCCAGGAGCGTTCTGGCACATCAGCGCGTGGGCTACTCCGTTCATCTGTCCGTAGTAGAGAAGATGTCGTGACGGCTTCGTGGCTGGGTGCGTTGCCTCGCTGGCACTTGACCCATACCCGTAGTTGGGGCCAACCCCGGAACTGAATGGACCAGATAATGTTTGACTGATGAGATTAAACATTTCAACGCCAACCCAGCAAGCCAGGACAAGGGCCGTATCGCAAACAAGACCTACCGCGCCGATCGAACGTTTTCGGAGTAACAAAGACCGATCTTCCTTTTTCCATTCTTCTTGATTCCCACTCGTGTATTTTGTCTTTTAATCCGATTCTCAATCCGATTACACACTACGCAAGCCGAGTCCTCATCAAATCCCCACCGTGTCGGGTCTTTGGAGAGCCTTCTAGGCGGTCCAAGCTTGCGTCATTTGCTGTTGCATGACTCGTGGTTGAGTGATTGACCGTTGCTCTGGCCAGTGCCAGAATTGGGCGGAGACCCTGATCAAGACCCTGATCAAGACAAGACCCTGATCACATCCTGAGTAGCACCCTGACCGATACCCTAGTGGAGACCTTCCGAAGGTCCTTTCTGTGCTATCCCCCACCCGGTCAACGGAACGTAACCAACATCAAAGTTACGCCGGCATATGCCTTGCACCCATTTGGGGAAGGCATAGGCAACCCCTTGACCACCTCGTGTACAGGACCAATCATTGTCACTCCCACTCAGACGACACAAAATTGTCTTAGTCTTTGCCCAGCACCACTTTTACTATGTGTGTAGATTTCACCAATGTCTGTTCACACATCTCTAAACCGGTTCCCGAGACATCACTAACGTCAAACTAGCAGTACAATTTACAACGCGGCTGATTTGGGGAAAGAACAATTATCCCCTTGGCTACCTCGTCTAGAGGACCAATCATATCATGACAACATTCCGAAACGCCTATTGCCTACATCCATAGGGTAGGTCGGATAGCAAGCTCCCATCAGCACCTTGATTAATACACTGAGTCACGGAGGTTCGCCCCTGGATAGCATCTAAGCTCGGAGTTTTCCAACTTTTAACGCAAACAATAACCTTTGCTAGGAGCCCTCAGTCATCCGCTACTCGTAAGGCATGGGATGCATGCTTCCTACCCGCTTACCTTTTTTTTCCATTGGCGCTATGCTGGTGCCTCCATAGGAGAAATGCTTCGATCGCCATGTGGGCTTTGTTGAGATATAAGAACCATGAAGTGAGGAATGAATTTGCTTCCTACTTTCCAACATCCGCTGCTCCTCTTAAAACCTGTTTCCTCGCCCAAATTCTTCGTTTTCTAAATTTCTCTACCTATCTATCAATACTAGGTAACCCCTGCCGTCGCAAAATATGGCTATCGCTGTTAAGAAAGACCCAAATGTTCAAGAGACTATCCATCAGCCAGGCCGGGGTTCCCCGCAAGCAAGTCCGAGACTTTACCCACGACACGTTCACTCCTCTCAAGGCTCATCGGTTGTCGGCGGTCTGCTTCCCGCTGGGCACTTGAGCCTGCCAACCCGATTATCTCAACAACCAGCCCTACCGTCTGGTCGTCCTCGTCCTTGCGCGTGGAGGCAACCTAGACAACGACGTAGGCCACGTAGGCTCCACCAAGCCAACTCACCAGGGGGTCGAGTACACAGGCAATCAATCAGTCCACAGGCCCACACATCCACCCACACATTACCCCTCCTCCCTCTACACAAGAAACCCCACCCACAAGCCTATCCGTTACCCATCCGGGAACCACCATCCTCTCATCCTGGGGCTTCCTCACCCTGCCAACTACCTTGTCCAACGCCGAACACACTTCGGAGAGATATTTGGCCAGCCTCACTTCCGAGCGGGCAACGGGCGCCCATTGGGGAGGAAACCAGACCCCATCGTGCCCAAGATTGTTTTCAAAAGAACTTGCTTGTTACACGAAAGGCTGCCCAGAAACAAGATTCTGATGTCAGCTGCATCAACTGACTCGCTCTAGCATTTGAGGCCTTGTTGGTAGGCCCGTCGTGACTAGGGAGTTTTCTTTGGCCCGGCCTCGTTAATTGCTTGGTTCCGGCGGATTCACAACAAGCAGATGCAGGGGAAGTGGAGCTACAATACTACCTTACTGGAATAGGAAGGAGGGCCTGACCTTGGACAGCCATAATCCCCGCGTAGGGAAGATCAAGGGCACCCTGGAAACTAAACGCTGCGATTTGTTCTCCGTTTTTTTTGTTCTGCTTTCCCACTTTCTTACTAGACAAATTCAGATACAGATTCCTGCCGACTTTGGTAATTAAAAAAAAAATTTTGGCTATGAAAGGTTGCAAGCCGTTTTCTATGTTCCCTCTTGTGTTACTTGTGCGTCTACTAAACGACATTGTAGCAGCAATCAACATGCGCTGGCTAGTGACCCACTCGGGCAAACGGGGACTATGGGGCCGAGTCACCCGTCTACCAGTAGTAGTACAGGAACAGTAATTAATCGCGGGGAATCGCGCAGAGGAGCACCAACAGCAAAGTAGTAACCAACATACGGCAACCCTTAGCAATGGTTCAGTGATCCCCATTATGACTGTCAGCTGCCGATGGCTGCATCCGTCACAGAACGGCAGCATATCCTATTTAGTCCTGATTGTCCCTTATCTCTCAATATCAGCACTGGCTGACGCCCTAAAAACTCGACTTCACCAACAAATCGACTACATTCATCTTGACGTCATAATGGGAATCTCTCTACCAAATGAGCTTATCATGATGGTTGGACAAGAAAGGAGTCAGCAAAGGATCTGTTTGTCATGATCCAGTTGAATCGTTTTTACAATTGTCTCTTCAAACTTCGTTACTGGCACATGGTCAACCGCGACAATAGCCTCGTCCTACTAAAGGCTATTAAGAAACGCTCGACTGAACCGTACATGACTTCAACAATCAAGTATCTGTTGGAAGCAGGGGCGAATGTCGAGAAGCAAGATGAAAAAGGCAAACTGCCATTGGCTCTGGCAGCGGAACTGGGCCATGACGATATTGTCCAGCTTCTCCTCGACAACGGAGCAGATGTCAACGCACAGACTGGTGATCTCGGTAGCGCTCTCCGAGCTGCATCCTCGGCAGGCCATCAGGTCATTGTTCAGATGCTTCTCAACAACGGTGCGAATATTTACGAACAAAGCAATGCTCTTCATGCTGCAACATTACGAGGTCACGATGAGGTTATACGCGTACTTCTCAGTGCTGAGCCTGAAGGCTTTTTGCATGCGAAGAATCATGCCCTCCAGGTTGCATCCCACACCGGCCACCATAAGGCTGCACAAATGCTTATCGACAAAGGCGCGGATGTAAACGCACAGGGCCGATTTGGAAGCGCTCTTTACGCTGCAGCGTCACAAGGTCACCACAAAACTGTGCAGATCCTTCTCAGCAGTGGCGCAAATGTGAATGCACAAGGCAGCCATAATGAGAACGCCCTCTACGCTGCAGCATCAGAAGGCCACGCTGAAGTTGTCTCTACGCTCATTGCTAATAATGCGGATGCCAACGCTCGAGGTGGATATCACAAGAACGCGCTGGGAGTTGCAAATAGCAAAGGGCATCATAAGATAGTAGAAATTCTACTCGGTGCTAGGGACTAAGGCACATAGTCCCAATCGAGCTTAACTACACAGGTCTTCAACCTCTAGGCAATATACTAAGTAATAATCAGAGGATTCTACAAGGCCTATGCTTAATAGAATTACTGTGAAACGGTTTTTCTTTTCTTTCTTTAGTTTTTCTCTCTTTCCTTTAAGTTAAGCTTAGGGTGAGTAGCCTTGCGGACTTCACGTATAAGAATCAATTTAAAACTCCTTACAACTACAAACCGGGACAATTCACTAGTAATGCCTTCAGTTTCAACGCCTTTGACTAAGCTGTGATACACTCCTCCATCTGTCTTGATGAGCGATCCGGTGTAGCGGAAGCCGTTCCTGTTGGGTTGCAAGCCGCATACGCAAAGACACCTGTCTCAAAAACAGTTGCATACTGCGTGCTTTCCTCCTGGCGAGGCTATTACCCATCACTCGTGGATTCTGGACTTTCGCATCTTGTGCTTCCACCATTTGCCAATCAGAAACACCCTCGGTCTGGCCTCTGTTTTCAGCCTGCTCCGTCTCGAGGATCGCATGCATGTCGGCGTCAAACATGCGAGTTGACTCATCATGTCCACCCACACCATGTACGACAGCGTCATCGGGCATTTCGTGGCTTTCAACAGGCCGGGCCGCATTATGCACGGCCAAATCGTTTCCTGTATCCCTGGTACATTGCATCTTGTCATCAGTCTCATCGTCGGTGTCTCTTGTTGCTATGAGAGTCATGTCGTAGCTAGCTTTTAGAATGCCAACGCAGTCTGCGCTGTTACTGTCGACAGGAATGTTGTTGGAGACATCGGCGTCCGCATCGGCTTCCTTGCTGCTTTCCGCTTGAGCGGCGGCGATCTCGGTGCTGCCAATCCCCACTATTATTTCGTCGTGCGGAGTTGCGCTGCCATCTTGTCTGCCCTGTGGGTCCTGATGTCGCGTCTTAGCTCGTTGTTGTGGGTCGCGGCTTCGACTATTGCCGTGCAGGCCGTTCAGAAGTTCCAATAACTGGTTTAGAATTTGCATCAGCTTTTTGTTTGCCATCTCCGAGACTGCAAGGGTCGCTTTCCGCCCGAGCTTACAAATGCGTTCACATCTGGAATGCTTTCGCCTTCGGGGACGTATACAGCCCCATCTAGACGTCCATATGTGGGGTTGAAGTGGACGACGGCCGAAAACACACGGGCTTCCTCGCCTAACTGTATCGCTTTCCTCATGGCACTGCCGCCAGACTTTCGGACCTTATCCTTGGCCCTCTTGTCGTGCTTGTAGAGCATCCTCTTTGGGGATGCAATGGCCATGGTCTTGTTCATTTGAAATCGCCTCACAGTGAATGTGTCTCTAACGCTTGCTTGCTTGGACCTCTAAACTGACTGCTTCGATACCACCGTATTACTCCCACATGTGGCGCTGGTTAATCTTGTATAAAGCCATCTTTGGTTTCGTCAAACAGATCCAAAATTGTATCTAGCATGTTTCTGCCGTCTCTTCAGCGTTTCTAGCAACTACAGTTTCTTTGCGTGATGTTCTGGACCTGCTTCTAGTTCCCTGTCTTCATTCACACTGCAGAGGGTGGCTTCCTGACCTGGAGCTAGAATTGGCTCCTCGTGGCGTGCACATCCAGCCGAAAAATACTCCCTACGATGCGATCCATAACTGACTTAGTATTCTTTAAAGTCACTTAGCCCCACACTGGTCTCGATTGCGGACCGTGGAGCCGAGAACGCGGTCCATTGTTGTCTACGGAGTACAGTACATGGTCAGGGGCTGACTCAATTCTCTGAACCACCAGTTGTGCCATGCGTTTTTGGCTAGGAAGTAGCCTAGACCGCGAAGTGTTCCGCCCAGCACGACGTTTTTCTAGCCACAGTCTGGATGTGCCTAATTGTTTTCTTTTCTTTTTTCTTTTTTCTTTTTTTTTTTTTTTTTTTTTCCCAATTGCCATACTTCCCAACAATGAGCCTTGGTCATCTCGCCAGCTACCCACCATCAGTTTTTCCTGCAAGCCGTCTCTTCAATTCGGCATATTTGCCACAAAAAGCATCTTGCTTGTACGAGGATCTTCACTACATACACAGATTTGCGCTCCGACCTTATTCTGCATTATGACGGCGTTTTGGTTTATTATTTATCTCAGCGTTATCGTCAATCTCCTCAACCTTCTTCATTTCGCCATACGAATCCTATGGAAAGTGCCACATACTTAAAACCGTCGACCTAGGGCAGGATAGCTGTGCTGAACGAAGCATTGGATGGGATTGCTCCGCGGTCGGATCGATAGTCCCAATCGTCATAGTGGTAGAGATAGACTGTAATACGACCGCTTCTATTTGTTTCTCCGTTGAAAAGGGGAAATATTGACCTAGTGAATGTGATTGTGACGAGAGGATGAGGCTGCTTAGTGCATTAGTTCGTGGAGTCAACGTTCGTCCCAGAGCGCTCAAGAGCTTCCTCGACATAAAGGGAGGGAGGATCGTTTGGCACGACAAAAAGTCATATGAGCCTAGAGGGCCAAAGGCCCATGATGCATACGTGCTTGTGTCCCTCTTGGTGATGTCCTACATCGGCATCGACGGTCTTCTCCAACTGTGACTCGATTAGAGAATCCAACTGGCAGCTGCTAAACACAATAAAGCCTACTTGGTTTGGCCCCTAAGAGTACTGCAGCAGTATGGAGCGATGTGCAATTTCACTTTCGGCAATAGAGCAACTTTGGCCAGGTGTCGTCGGTCAAAGGGAGGACGTTGGGACACGACGAGGGTGACTGGCGTATACCCATGTAAAGTCCCACTGTCACTGTCTGGTGGTCCGTCGTGCGGGGGACCAAACCAACAAACCTTTCAGTCAGGAAAAGCCGAGACGCGATTAGTCTTCTAGACGAGGTTGATTAAATAACGTTTTTGCCTGCATTTTGGAAGGCAGCTAGCGCCAGAACGTAAGTGGAGACTCCCAGTATAGGCAAGTTAGCCCAAAGCTATCAAAGATCTGGCGGGTATTCAATACAACGTACCGCGGGGTCTGGATTCGCGCTCGGAACTAGCTTGCTACCCTTGACGTTTGATGGTGCAGTATGTCGGCTCCATGTTTCTGGCCAAGGTGACAATATTCAGTGACCATCCTAATTTGACGTTGTTTGCTTAGTGGAGGTGGACCCCACGTGACTGTTGACGTATGCAGCACCCTGTTGCCAAGTGCCATTTTGAGAAACGATAGGCCCTAACAAAGTGCTGACTTGAACTATAGCTCCGCTATGGGAGCGAAACTACTTCCAGTTGCAATTGAAAGACAAGGGTTGTCGTCCACCTGTTGCATGTATGTTGGACCCTTTGAGACGAGACCCTTTATTGACCCACCTCGCTGGCGACGGCTTTGCGTTCTCTTTCGGGAAAGAGAAATCAAAAGGGCCCCCTACGCCAACCCCTGATCCGACCCGACAGTTTGGTAACGGCGTAAACCTTATTACCCACAAGTTTCAGGCTAACGGCCAAACTGCGCGGATCTGTGGATGCCGAAGAGCGACACGTGACTGGATACGAGCAGAAAATTGGCGGGCTGTCATTTCCACTGCATGGTCAACGCGTCAAGACCAGGATCTGCCGGCTTGGCAAAGCAAAGAAGTGCCAGAAAACGATTGGAAATCGGAATATGCCCTGCTTGATTGTCTACACGGAGTATTGGCCTCACAATGCGTCAAGTAGAATCTGTATCCGTCTGTAGTACGATATTTCTGTCGAAAGTCTTTCGCATTACGGATTGTTTAGATGAGAAAAGCCAAAGAGAATGCAACGCCATGTCCCGGCTCAAAATACACATAACAAAGCAGCAAAAGCTAAGTACAGAATTTGCTTTCATTGCTCCTGTTGGCCCCACTCAGTCATTCCATCCCAAATTGGCGTTAGGGCCGCGGTGTCTTCGACGGCAACAGCAAGCGTAGTCACCTTGGATTTCAGCTCGTCATGTCTACACAGGACGTCAGGGCCGCATCATTCCGGTGGCGTAATCGCTCAACTTACAGCAACGCAATGGCATTGAGATGTTTCTCGTTTTCCTTTTCCATCTTGGTAACAGCATTTTCTATAGCTATGATGTAGCAAAACCAAACGTCTGGCGGCTCTTGAATCGCCGGAGGTGTTAGTGTAAACCTAAGGTTGTCAGCCTTCTGTCAGTGTGTTAGTAAGGAAGTAGTTACTAACACAGGCGCACGCTCAAAACCCTCATATTTGCCGAGGTCTTGATCATGTGGGCCATTGATTTCGAAAAGGGGGTCTGATATGGGGGATATCAATGGGTTTTCGGTGACATTTCTCGGATAAACCAGGCTGTCGCGGGTAAGACTTGCCCTCTGTTGAAGGGCTTGGACCGGTTGCGCTGTAGGAATGGCGTCACAATGCCGGACTCGATTTCGGGAGGATTGACGCCTGTACCGTAATTGGCCAGGCCGCCGAGCACGTTGCCGAGATGGATACATGACGTCACTCTCGAAGCAGTGATACAAATCAACGTTGTCAGAGAGGATAGACAATAGTCTGCGGCCAACGACGATGAAAGTTGGCACGTTCGGTATTGTCGTTGTTCATACAATCAGGACAGTGCTTTTACTCTTTAATACGGCACGAGACATAGACGCCACGATGTTGTGCCATGATTCAGGCAGCAGAAACGGATCTCAAGCGTGCCAATCGCATTCGTTACCAATAGGCTGGAACAACTCGTTTTTTTTGTTGTACTTTTCTCTTTCTTGGAGAAAGGGGACATTGGTCCGGATTCTCACACTACTGTTGCTGTTGGAACGAAAACGTGCACCTTACCCTCCGCTCATCCCGCATATCACATTTTGCAAGCAACAATATCTAGACGAGGTTGACAGGGGGCCGATGGTTTGGGTAACAGATTGACAAACGGTCCAATCTCGGAGTTGATGCCCGTGCAATTCCTCCCATCCCCCCCCCCCCCCCCCCCCCCCCCTCAAAACATCAGCCTGTACGGCGTACACCCTGGTCGAAGCCTATCATAAAACAGGCACAAGGGCATAGCGTAAAAACGGAAGAGGATTGATTGAGCGAGTCATGTAAATTTGATTGTGGATCTAATAACAAGCGGGGCCTTACCACAGGAACCCTGGGCCCAATTCCAAGTGCTGATTTTATTCAATCACTGTCAATGTTCTAGAGGTCACATCCTGGTTCCAACACAAAGCCTTCAAAATGACGTGGCAGACTGCGTTTACCGGAGCACCCGGGTCAGGGGATGGCCCTTGATTGTGTGGTGGGTGGTACCACTTTACAGCCCTAGGGAAGTTCAGATGGATCACCGGCAGCGATGGCGCCATGACCTTACTATAGTATTCTTGAAAGCACACGCCCTCATGAATGAGAAGGGTCTCCCACAACCCGCCTCGCCTCCTGCGCTGAAGGACCTCCTGGCCCTAGCAGCCCCTTGCCAAATTAGGGTAGCCCTGTTTCCCATCAGGCAAGACAGTCTGTCAGTTGAGTACGTAAGTCCTTGGCCTCCTAGGATGAGAACCTGGATAGCTTTTTCAAGGTCTGTGATTGGATCTAGCAGAGAGGTGTTCGAAACGAGCATCTTTCGGGCTGCAGAACAAACTTATTGTAGTGACTTCCGTCTGAAAGAAAATAAACCAACGCTATCATGTAGTCACTCTCTCTTAAATAGAGGCCTGCTTGTTTCTGCGATAAAAGACACCCTGGAGGCCCTGGGGTCTGCGTTCGTGTCCTTTCTCGGCGTCGCTGGGGAACATGGCGTTGTACTCTTCCGTAATTCTTTCCCAAGATAGACCGCTGCCGTGAAGGTTGTCAATGCAATCAAGTTGTTCCGAAGTATACCTCACGTTGCAATGGGGACGGCTTGTTGGACGACGACGCCGACGCGAGGCCGGTGCGCTGGTTTGAGGGCTTGCCGGAAGCCAGTTGAGAAGACAGCCTTCGACGGCCAATGGCGAGTTCTGGGACCGATGCTGGCATTGCGGGGTTGCATTGGAGAGAGGGAGGCCGTTACAGCATCCGTTTGTCGCCAATGGTATGGGACTTTGGGTATCCGATGAGAGCGTAGCGGGTCTCGGAAAGCTTTCACAAGATCCGACGAGACGAGGCGAGTAGGTCATGGAGGAGGTCATGGAGGTCGTGGAGTTTGATGCTTTAGCTGGATGGAAAATGTCTAAATCGCGCAGCCGTGGGAGGTTCACTTGAAGTTGCCTGGGTGAGGGGGACGAAGGACGCGGAGACAATTCCGAACGGAAGCCTTGGTGTGTAAGTCGTTTCGTCGCTTCTTACCGCTGAGAGTAGATGCTCTCTTACCTCTCAGCTTGCCCGCAACACTCTCTGTCGCATCAGGCAAATAGGGTGATTGGCTGCTTGAATATTCTGTCAAGTAAGGGGTGCTTACTATTTTCGAAACGTGGCCGTTGTGATCTGCTGAAAGTGTTGGCTCTTTGGGGCTGTAATAGACATCGGAATTCATGGTGTTGCGTGCGATGATGAAGGGAGCAAGAAACTTTAGAATGCACGAGGAACGCGGTAAGGCAACACTAGAGCAGAACGGCTTATCGATTGCGATGTGTTTATTCATGTTATAAGTAGGTGTTTCTATGAACCGACGGGGGTAATGTCTAGCATTCGTTGCAGCTGAATTTGACGTCGGCAACAGAAAAAAAAAAAAAAAAAAAGCAATTTGTAGAAAGACAAGCAAATCGGAGGGTGTGACGGAGCCGAGGACCACCGGCGCTGTTGCCCATGCAAAACGTCCGACAAGGATCCAGGTTGGGAAGTAGACAGGAATCGAACAGGGTACCAACAACGGGCAGATCAAGAATTGCAACTAGGTAGCAGCAGATCTAAGTCTCTATCGTTTCGACCTCGCTTACTCACATACTCCCCCAAAACAAATGAGATTCCAGTGAATACGACTTTCAGTGGCGAGGTGGAAAACGGCGTGAAGTATCTTTTTGTTATTACTCCAAAGCGAGGACCCTGGAGATCAGGGTTCTGCTGGAGGGTCCTAGACTTCTTGATCCCTTGTTTGGAACTGTCAGATAAGGTAGGTGGCATCAGTTTTGTCAACTGCAGTCTGGCCGGGTCGGTATTACGGGAATTGCAGGCCCTTGGAACGACTTCGACCAATTGGAAGACAAGATGATCTTGTTGGTTCAACGGGCCATCGAAAGTGGATAGATACCAACACGGCTTAGGGTTGCGAATGACAAGGACCAGGATTAAATCAAACATTTGCTCCTTGAGGCAGACAGAAGGCGAGCAGTTGTCAAACTTCCGCCCCGCTTTTCGTGATTGTCCCTTCGCAGCAATATCACCGCCCAACAGAGAGGCTGGCCTGGGCTCGAGTCATGAGCGACTGGATTAGATACCTCAGCGGAGGGCTTCCCCTGCCTGAACCTGGCTCATGTTCGCGCCTTATTCCACTTCTAGTTTCTGATCCATCACACAAACAGAAAAGCCACCGAACTGGATATGATTGCAGTTATCAAGTTGGCTGGAGAAGGCAGATCCTCTCCGGCGATTATCCGTAATTGCGCCTTCGTGACGGAGTGGATCGCAAGATCATCATGCATAGGCTGGCGGTACCGAAAGGATTGTGAGGTAATTGCGCGGCCAAGCGAATCCTGTTGAGCGTGTCGCGACATAATACTAATCCCGTTTTTATGCTGAATGGGAGTTTTGGCGGCCACTCCGTAATGCAAGCCCATCGTCTTGCTTTCCGCAACGGCGGATCAGGGCCGCAATACTATAAGTGACTTTGAGCCGTCTCGGATCTGTGCTGACCATGTCTGCATCAAACAGCAATCGTCTTTGCCCCAAGAGGTTTTCACTGTTGCACACTTTAGCCGTTGGCCCTTCGCTCAAAATGTCCCAGCGTCCGTCACAGCCGACAAGTCAGCCGGCGGGTTACTTGCCATATGGAAGACAACGACTACGGGACCAGCAGTCCACAGTAGGTCACCTTGGACAGGCCGAAAACTCGCCGGACGCCCGAAAACACGGCAGTCAATATTTCGCCAGTAGCTTGCCGGCTGAGAATACTCAGTTCATTGATTCGGACATGCAAGGGCTCACCCTGCCGTCTGAAACGTTGGAGAATGCTGGCCTATCGGCACAATACGTCGGCAACTCAACAGAAGTGCAACCGAGGCAATTCACGTTAGTCTACCTCAGTTCTGGCACAGCTACAAGGAACATAGGGAAATGCTTAACGACGACAGGAACGATATTACAGACCGATTATTGGCAGTCAGAGGCCGATTAGATCGAGTCATCAAAACATCAAAACAAGTGAGACTCTATATAGAGCAGTAGGTTACCTTGGCTAGGGCACTTTCAAGACATATTCTGACTTTGGTAGAATTCAACATCTCGATGCGACGGTGACAAAGATCACAAACTGTCTGAATGGCTTGTCATGGGGACCCCTGCCGGACGGAGGGAATATTGAGAATGAAAACAGATGGTTAAGGGAGCACTCGGAAGGGTGGAACAGTAGTCGTCTTCTGTCCAGCACCTGCTGTGTATGAGACGCTCATCAAGCACATAGCAAGTAGCACAGCATAGTTCTACCTAGCAGCCTCCAAAATATAAGACATATCATGAGTTTTTATAGTTCTAACTCAGATTAATTTTACTGTCATCACTTTGTTTCGATGTAATTAAAGATCCAAATACTGCCATAGTCTTTGAGTTTGCAGGCAATATCTAACACTACCGTATGGTCAGGTTTTACTTATTCCCAAAATAGGACCAACCTCTCAAAGAGGCATACTTCATAGGCCTTCAGCATGAACCTGATCGGTCCCGAACATCTTTAGCTATTGCTGACTCTTCTTGTGGTTTTGCGCTCGTGACTGCTGTGTGGCTAAACTTTTATCAAATACACCGTCAAGCGATAGAAAGCTATTCATCGACCTATGAGTAGTGGCAGCTGCCCTAGAGCACCGTCTTGGAAGCAAACTAGCTCGTCAATTACGTAGCAACCTTTTCACGCCATAGACATGCCACAATTCTGAGACTGCCGACACAGGTCTCGGTGGCTCTTACTGTGGTAAGTCGTGTCGTGTCTATGAAACATGAGATTCAGGTAGGTGGGATTACTATTTCTTTTGTAATTAACGTCTTTATTGGAGACTTTCCCCTGAATTTTTATTGTCACCCTTAGGCACAGGCAAAGAACGCATGGTTTCCTTCTTACTAGGCGAAATGGGTTTCGCAGACAGAAAACCGGCGCAAGAACCCGAACCACAAACGTTATCATGGTGCTGGTCTTTTCCTCTGTCGGTTGCTCCAAGCTGTTGTGTCGCCTAGAACGGCTCCGTTTACCTGTAGAACGGCTCGGATGCGTCACCTTGCAACTCTTGTTCATCCTTACCGAAGACTTAACCTCGGTCGGTCTCTTCATTGCCGCAGCACGGCCGCCAACAGACGCCCAGTACCTTTTCACAAGTTTCTCGTCAGCTTCTTGAATTTCTTTTTCTGGCTCCCAAGATGTTTCAGGAGACCCGACCCAAGCGACCTCCAAGTAGACGCTCCCAGCGGGTTTGATCTTGTGAGACTCGACTTTGAAAGGGTGCCACAATCCATTGTCCACCATCGCACCTTCCCGTCCGCCCTTCAGGCGTTTCCAGTAAGCGAACAAGGCCAACGGAGCATCTTTCTGGATGTTTATTTCAGGCTCCCAGGTCTCATCGTTTCCCTTCCAACGGACTCGGATCTCAAAATGAGTGTCACATGTCGGGTCGCGACGGTGCGCAAGCAGCTCCTCAAAAACGAAGCGATGGATCTGCGTGTCAGCTGCGACATCTTGTGCCGCAGTTCCATGAACGCGTCCGCACATCGAATCGGTGGCAACTGTGGCTTTCTTTATTGCGATATTTTCCTCAGGCTCCCAGGTCTCATCTTTTCCCTTCCAACGGACTTGGGTCTCAAACTGAGTGTCACATGCCTCGTCGAGACGGTGGGCAACCAGCTCCTCAGCATCGAAGCGCTGGATCTGCCTGTCAGCTGCGACTAAGACTTTCTCTATTGCGACTGTTTACAAATTAGTATCGAAATGGGCATCAAATAGAACATCATACCTAGTACATCGTTCCAGAAGACAGTAGCATCTTCAGACTTTGCGACAGGACTGCTTAACTCTTCTGAACAGTCCATCGGAGCCGTTGGCGCAATGTGCATAGTTGACGGCATATGAAGTGTCTGGTCAAGTACGGAAATGGGATGATTAGTGTGCAATGTGTAGAGAAATTCGTGCTTCGTGCGTGAGAGTAAAGGAAGCAACAAATGCAGTGCGTAGGATATAAACAAAAGAAGTGCACTAGCTTCTAGCCAACCTATTTATCAGTTTGAGCAACTATCCAAGTAGGCCCTCCGCCAACAGGGATTTGGCGCATCCCGTTACATTTTGGAGCAAGGCGCAGAGGCTAATACGGGGCACCACGCTCTCAGGCGCATCGGCTCACCCTTGCGATGGGGGTTTTCGCCCTATGACATTCATCTCCGGCTGGACATAGAACAGCAAACACATTCATGACAATGTCGCTAGTATCTCGTCTTGCCGCCGCGAATCGAGCATGGATTGAACATGTGATTTAATGGCGCAGCCTCCATGTCTGTCAAATGGCCGAGCTTCGAAGTCCTGCGCGATGCTCATTGGCGCCATGGCTTGGATCTCCAATCAAAAAACGTTGTGGGGCCATTCGTCCCAAGTATACGACTAGTTCCCGCACCCCATCCCGGCGCAAATCTGTCGCTCTGGTCATCATGTGATTGGGAGATGGTGGTGAAGACAATGACAGTAATGAAGATGATGGTGTAAAGCCGTTGCCGAGATCTTGAGTTTGGCAGGCGACTTGCAGCGTTTCGCGTGGGTACCTCCATGAGCGCTTTCGTTGACTTCATTGAGTGTAACATACGGGCATGAGCTGCAGGTGTGTCCAGCGAGTTATAATTGGTTGTGGGAACATCACGACCAGCATAAACCTCCAATTCTAAACTGAGGAATTGCCTTTATGCTGAGAGCGTGTGTAGGGAAACGCGGAATCCCTAGTTACGTTGTTGACAGAAATCTCCAGAAAGCAACAAATGACTCTTGGCAAAACTTACATAAGCAAACAGGGCAATCCTTCAGTTGTTTCTAACTTCCACAAAGAAGCGGTGTTTGCTTCTGACGCGTATTGTATGATCTGTCCGTACGTCCATTGTCAGCAAATGCTGCCATAACTCACAATCGACTGCGTCGAGAGAGCCTCTAAACAATGATCCAAAAACTGATTTCGACCATAAATGGCATGTCAATTTCTGGAGTTTTTCCTAGTCGCAAGCTGGCCCCCGCTCGCTCGCCCGTAGTAATAAGCGCTCAGGCTTCATGCCTTATCTAAAGAAAGATCAGTCACTGTGGTCACGTGAGGTTTCAACAAGCATATCAGACCATTTCTATCCGCCAATACATGTTGTTGAACAGTTCTTATAAGAAAAGCCACCTTTGCTTAAACTGCAACGTTAGCCTACCTTTTACTGCCTGCCTATCAAGCTACAACTGGCGCCTACTACGTACAATCCGTCATACTCTGTGGATACGCTCACGCCTTGAAACATTCACCATGAGGAAACAACCAGGCGACCAAAACAAGAATGAGAATGGCACATCCGCAACCGAGTGGGAGATGGAGCGGATTCAACGACACTGCGTCGTTGACGACACAATCTACTACCACGTAATTTGGAAACCGACCTGGGAATCTGAAGACAGACTTCAGCACATGCTACCCTCCATAATTGCTTGGAACAACTGCCATGGCTACCCTGAAACCAGAAGAAAGCTGGTAAATCAACTCGACCATACTCTGGAAAACTGGTCAGGAGAGGTCATCGGGAGGAAGAATGTGGACGGCTTAGCTCACTATAAGATTCAATGGGACACGACTATAGAGCCGGAAGCCAATCTAGAGAATGCGACAGGTCTCGTGAAGGGATATTGGAATAAAACACCCGAGGCCTAGCAGATTGCGGAGAATACCTATGAATGGGAGTCGTCCTGAAGGTTGTACAGTAATTGATCACGTTTATGTCGATTATTCGTGAAGGGCATGTCTATTTTGACCTTACAGAACTATAAGACGATTCCTCGATGTTTGCTCTCAGATTGAATGCTTTGATTCGATCTTGGGATGACCTGAATACAGTACTTCAAACGACACTTGCATATTTGCAGTTGCAGCTGTGAGCTCAAGTCGCTTCCTCTCTAGCATACTCACTAGATTCCCGGATACCTTCTAATTAGTGGCACGACTTGTGTAATTCACTTTCCAGATCACGTCTGTATACTATTAGACGCAATTGCGCTCATTGCATACTTGGCTTGTATTGTGATGAGCTGTCGCTGTCCTCAGTAATTGAGCTCTACTTATCACCAAAGGCTATAGGAACTGCCGACAGCAACCATACATGTTTAATGACCTTTGAGTCACACATGACGGACCCGCTTCGAAGCAACTTCTACCTCTTCTATGTGCCTTTTCATCGGGCTCTTGCTCTCGGTCTGCGGCAAATCCCTTGCTTCAGCATCCTTTGTGGTCGTGTCCTCTGCTGCAGTCACTGCCAAGGCTAACAGTGGGGAAAAAACGTCGTCCATATTGTGTGCACTATCATCGTCGGGTATTTGACCATACGTCTCCTGCGGGGCATCACCCAATGCATCCCCCACAAAGCTTGAATGTAAGTCTTTCATGGAACCAGACGTCTTCGAGCCTCGTAGCGTCATTGAAAACGCCGCTGGCGACGCGGTACAGTTATGTGCAAAAATACCTTCCTCTTTGAATACAAACAACTTCACTCTTAAATCAGAGTGGAGCCAGAAAAGTACTCAGATCTACCTAGCATGGTCGACAATAATCCAGAAATGGCTCTTAAATAAGCTGCAATTGGCAGTGATTACCTAGCGCTGGAGGTACTCAAAGGTATATAGCAAATGCCCGTGTTTAATCCAATTACATAATGACAGTGTAGGCAACAGGCCACAATACCTGGAATAACCGCTTTTTCCTAGCCGGTACGCAAGTGTGTAACTATAGACAGTGTGTTCCAGAGAATATTTCACACTATGTGGAGAAGCTTTAGAGAATAAAAGAGTGTTTTGAAAGAGGAAGGAATATTTGCACATAACTGTACGGCATGTCAGCTCCATGGGAGATATCTCCATAGGAAACATCTCGAACTCCAAACGCCTGATCCGTTCCTCTTGCTCGCTAATGGTCTGACACTGCCCTTCGATGCGTGCCTTGTATTGCTGGTTCTCTCTATGAAGTTGTTGGAGCTGGGAATCTTTCGAGGTGGCATACTCGCGCCAGCGTGAAATGCACGTTGTCATCTCCTGTACGATGATTGCGACGAGTCTGGCGGTGAGGTTGTCGCTTCTGCCGTTAAGCGTAAGATAAGGCACATCCATGTTGATGCAAGATACGGCAGTTCGGTTCAGATCGATTATCAGACCGTAGACATTGCGTTCTTTTCAACTACGGCAACATTGTTAGAGCTGCTTTCGCAAGGCCTGCCAGAAGGACGTCGACATTCTTGCGCAGCCAGAACCAGCTCTTTATCTTAAACTACGGTTTCACTCCTACCGTGTTCGGCCCTCCCAGCAGTTCGTTGGCGTAGATCTATAGAGACAACTATGACCTCAAACTGCATTCCAGAAGAGGCTATAGGGCGTCTTGCAATAAGTCTTGTTCCCAGTTGTCCTTTTTTTTTGTTGACAGTATGGGGCCCTTTGGAAGCAGATAGTTGAAATGGGTTTGAGTCATCTTCAGGTTGTTTCCTCAAGACTATGCAATAGCGCAAAGCCGCCGCTTATCCTCAATGTAGTACTGAACGTAAACAAGTATCTCATGAATAAGCAAAGCCATAGTTGGATATAGCCGCAAAGTGCTTCACAAGTAAACTCGCAATTTGCTACTTTTTACGCTGCAGTACAGTACTGTACGAAAACGAGAGACCAGAAATAAACAGTCAACTGAGAAGAAGTCAAACTGCTTGCCTCCATCTAGCCGCGATTCGATATATAGCCAGTGGTCTCCTAGGCACATGTGAAGTGCTCTACTAGGCACCCTGGTATGATGCTATACCACTTGATTTGAAAGGAGACGTAGGGAGTTGTCGTCACTTGATTAAGTGTCGCCACAGACATCCTTTTTTCCCATTAAACGTATCGTTCTTTCTACCGCAAAGCCTTCTTATCTTTACTACAGTTACCCCACTTAAGAAAGTTATAAAGAAAGTTGCAAAAGGCTTCAGATCAGCCAATCGCATCAGCGACGTTAGTTAGGGTACCTTTTCTATGCTATCGGCTTGGGCCTAGCAAATATCAGGATGTCCCTCAGCAGGAATTGCCCCGGTGGGAACTCACCGCTCCAGTGCCCCCAGGACTTACCCTTAAAGTCAGAAGTCAGAACTATAATTGAGAAGAAGAGTTTCCTATCGCATCTTTGATTGATTCGTCGATTTCCATAAAGTACGAAATCATAACGTATTGGCTACTACGCCCAATACCCACCTAGCAGCGACATGCATAGAAGGCGAAAATTAGATAGTAAACATTGAAAACAACCTACTCAAGTTCTCCGCGTCTTTCCTACCACACCACAAAGCCCGAACCAATCGGGGCTGCTATGACACGACAAAACTTGCCCAGTCCTCCAGCGAACGGCTACACCATTGTCTCCATCGCGGGACCCCCCCTAGAAAGACAAGGGGCTCAACAGTCTTGTCGGGAACGTTTGCGCCAGTCCACCACGCAGTGCTGTCGCGGAAAAGGGTCGACTCGAAGGCCTCCAGTACGAGACTTCTCCACGAGCGGCAAGAATCCTCCGATGGCTCGATCGAACGCAGGCCGTCTTCGCGCATCCGCTCCAGGAGACAGACTACCCAGTCAACCTGAAGCTCAATAAAGGGCGGTGCGTTCGTTTGCGTTGTCGGCCCTTGCGGCCCGTACAGCACGAATGCGTTGGGCATATTGGGAGCCATCATGCCAAGATAGGTGCTGATGCCGTGCTGCCAAGCATCCTGTAGCCGGACGCCGTGCTTGTTGCGGATATTCATGTCAAGCAAGCTACCAGTCACAGAGTCATAGCCGGTGGCCATGATGATGATGTCCAAATCGTGGTGGATGGTGGCGTCTCCGG